TCTACAATTTTGAAATCCCAGTCTATCCCTTCCCACCCTCCACCCCCCTGGTAACCACAAGTCTGTATTCTCTGTCTGTGAGTCTCACAGACAATTATTTCTTAATTCAAGACATCAGGGGTCTGTGTCCCTCCAGGTAGATATTGTTGCCTCCATATTCGTTCTCAGTTACGATTATTGAACCGTGTGGTGGGTGGAATTCTAAGAATGATCTCCAGTGACCTTTTCCGGTGTATAATCTCCTCTTCTTTGAGTGTGGATGGAAACTATAAATAGGATGACATCACTCTCATCAGTGTATTTTGCTTTATGGCAAGAAGGAAAATTTTCTGGTGACCCAATATAATCACATGAGCCCTTAAAAGTAGAGCATTCTCCTGGCTGAGGGCAGAGGGGGAGGTCACAGAGGTTTGAATGACATGCTAGTGCTGGTTTCGTAGCCGGAGGGAGCCATGTACAAGGACGGTACAATGGCTTCTAGGAGCTGAGAGGTCCCCAGCCAGCAGCACCCACTGAGTACCTCAGTCTGACAAATGGTAGAACTTAATTCGTCCAAGAACTCAAATGAGCTTTTGGAAGCAGATTCTTTCCCACAGTGTCTAGATAAGGGTCCAGCCTACTAATACGTTGATTTTGGCCCTGTGAGACCCTCAGAAGAGTCACCTTGACCTCTGACCTACAGAAATGAGAAATCCATGAGTGTTGTTTTAAGCCACTTAGTGTGTGGTAGCAATAAAAGATAAATACAAACCAACTATGATTTCACCAACTCTGGGATTAGCCAGACCACTTTTCTGGAATAGCCACAGTCTATTCATAGCTGAAATCAAGATATAGCACCTCTGATAGTTTGTTTAATCTTCCAATTGAATAACTATATCAAAAAAAGGAAAGCTACGTTTCATATATTTATTTATTTTTTAAATAATACCTTGAAAGTGGATCAGCTCTCTCCCTTCCAAAGCACTTTCAGATCTCTTGTCTCATCTCGTCCTCACAAGAGCCTGGTGGGTCAGATAAGAACAAAACCTGTAGACATCGTTTGCCCAAAGAAAGCACAGTCGACTTCAGCTCGCTATTAGGAAGGCCTTTCAAACAAACAGAACTGACCCATGGTGGAAGGGGCTGGCTTCCAAAATAATAAGCCATGCCTTGCTGGGAGGAAAGGCTACACAATCAGATTTGAAGGGTTTGGTGGGGGACAGCCTGGCATGGTTAAAAAGCCAAGCCTCTGAGGTCTCCCAGCACTAAAGGTTCTCTGCTTTCCAGTAAACAGTCAAACTGAATCAGTCTTTAACCGTGCTGGGGTTAGCTGGCTAAGGCGAGAGCTCCTCTTTCAGAATTCCTTGCCATTTTCACAATTGCAGTTGTTTTTGAAGCAGCAGATTTATCTAAATTTTTTCGTGCAAAGAAAATACAGTGTGGTGGCCCCGGTGATGCTTTTTTTTTCTTTTTAAGGCACCAAAATTTAGTAACCTAGCCGGGTTTCACTAACACTCTATAGCAGAGGCAAGATTTGAACTCAGTGTGTCTGACTCCTGAGTCCTTGCCGTAAACCATGATAGCGTGCTCTGCCCCTTCACTAAGAAGCAGGAGCAGAGTGGACTTAGGTGTTTAAAGAGGTGGACAATCTAACAAGACTGCAGATGGAATCTGTGGAGGGGAAAGTGTGTCTCGAAGGACTGGGCTGTCCTGTGGGCTCAGTGGCCCCGCATGACCGCAGCCCCCTCTACACAGAAGAAGAGATACTCTTTCTTTCTTTGTGTTTTTCTCATGGCCCAACCAGAAGCCCCACTGTCCCTGCCTTAGTTATTAGAACTCCTTAGACAGTCCGGTTTCCCACCCTGAACCTCAGTCTATCCATCTGTAATTTAAGGGGATTTGATTAGATTAGTTGATGTCAGAAATTCCTTCCGACTGGAGTTCTATTATTACGGGCAAATACGTGTATGTATATTGGCATTGCCCCTCAAGTGCTGCTTCTGGAGATAATCAGAAGCTCAGGAGATGCTCAAAAAGAGACTGACACCCAGTTCTGAGGGTTTCTTTCAGGAGATTCTTGAGATTTCTGTGAAAATTCTATTTCTGTGAAACCTTGTGCTTCTGGACTCCAGATTGCTTGAGCGCCCTGCCGCTGCAGAGAGAAGAGATCTGGGGTTGCCCTCCAGCTGGCAGAGGAGGTGGCCATGGACAGAAGTGGGCGGGAGGGAGACTGGGGAGGAGAGTTGGCTGGAGGCCAGGGTTACACCAATCCAGGCAGCTGCCTTTCCTCCTGTGGGGTACAGGGCTGCAGCAGGCCCACTGAGCTCTGGGAGAAGCTGGAGACTGGGTGAGGGCAAAGGTCTGGGGGCCAATTTGGAGCCAGAACTCGGCCAAGGAAGGCAGGTGTGATTAAGGCTGCACAGGGAGCTCTGAAGTTCTAGCTTCCATGTTGGAGAAAAGCATTGCCAAGTGGTAGCAGTGACCCAGCAAGGTGAGATGGGACCTAGCTTTTACGTTAACCCCAACTCACCTCACCTTGTGACTCACCGAACACATCAACAACTCTAACATGAGCCTAGTCCACGGGGAAAAGTGAGGCAGCTGCATGAACCCAGCCCACCGGGGGTTAAATGCAGCCAGCCTGTGCCCCCCCACACCCCATTACACAGGACACTGCATGAAGAATAATACTTATGCATACTCCTCTATGCCTGGGGAAACTGCCTTCCTGGATTTCATTTTCAAAAGCTGAAGCAGATACAGGAATTTCAAACTTAAAGAAGAATTCAGGGACTCCAGGTCTTTTCAAAACAATTTTGTTTTAGTGGAGAGCCTGTCACCAGCTGGCATGAAAGGTGTTAACTCAGGGTTTCTGGTCAACTCTCATTAAGATTCAGAACCAAGGAGAATTCATTTCAGAGGCCCCCTCAGACAGCTACTCCCCATCCAGCTTGCAAGTTAAGAGCCTCTGTATTGATTTTCTAGGTATTAAAAAGTTAGGCCAATGGCATATTTTTAAAAGCTTTATTGACGTATAATTTACATGTCTTAAAGTTCACCCATTACAAACGTACAAATCAATGATTTTAGTAAATTCATGGAGTTGTGCAGCCATTACCATGTTCTAGTTTTTGAACATTGCCATCCCCCTGTTTGCAGTCAGTCCCCACTCTCAACTCCTTTCCTAGGCAGCCGCTGATCTGCTGTCTTTCTCTGTGTTTTCTGGACATTTCATAAATGAAACAACATGGGGTCTTTTGCATCTGACTCCTTTCACTTAGCGTAATGTTCTTAAGGTGCATCCATGTTGCAGCGTGTCAGTACTTTATTCCATTACACTGCTCAGTGGTATTCCATTGAATGGATATATCACGTTTTGTTTATCTATTCACTGTTGGTGAACATGTAGCTTGTTCCCAGTTTCTTAGTGTTGTGAATATTGCTGCTTTGAACATTCCTGCGGAAGTCTTTGTGTGAACAAATGTTCGTATTTCCTTTGGGTAACTTCCTAAAAGGGGGATTGTTGAATCATATGTAAGGTTCACTTTTTAAGAAACTGTCAAACTGTCTTCCATAGTAGCTGTGCCATTTAACATTCCCACCAGCAATGTATGAGATTTCCAATTTTTTCACATCTTCGCCAACACTTGTTATTGTCTTTTTTATCATAGCCATCTTAGTGGGTGTGTTGTGGCATCTGATTGTGGACTTAATTTGCATTTCCCTAATGACCAATGATTTTGAGCATCTTTTCGTGGACTTATTACCCAAAGGCACATTTCAAACTAAATAGAAATATAAGGCCTTTTTTTTTTAAATAGAAAAGGAATATAAGGCCTTTTTTAAAAAAATATCAGAAACAAGCGGAAAGCTGAGTTTATTTTATTGTCATTAGTAAAAATAGTCACAGGGGGATTAAACAGATTGAGTGATTGATCCATTCATTCATGAATTTGTTTGTTTCATGAATAATTATTAAGAGACTATGTGTGTGCCTGGAGCTGTGCTAGTTCCTGGAGATGAAACAATGAGTAAGACATAGTCCTCCCTTCGTGTATCTTATGAAGATACATATGGAAGATGTGTGGGCCATCCTGTTAGAGATTACAGTGGAATACAGTGGACTGGGAGCTCAGCTAAGAGACCTCTGCCCATTCACTCCAGTGTTGAAGGGCCTAGGAATACTTAGGGTGAAGTCATGTCAAAACTCAGCGCCAAGGGGTTAGTAGCCAGCAGCCAACAAAGACCAAAGAGGAACATGATCCAGGTGGACCGGATGGGGGATGGAGAGAGAAACAGGCACGGTGTGCTGTGTCTGTGCATCGTAGTCCGTGCAGGCAGCTGTAATGAAATACCAAAGACTGGGTGGCTTATAAACAACAGAAGTTTATTTGTCACGGTTCTGGAGGCTGGGAAGCCCACAGTCAAGAGCCAGCATGGTCATGCTCTGTGAGGCCCTTCTGGCTCAGAGCCAGTGCCTCCTCTATGCGTTTCCACCTGATAGAAGGGGCGAGGGGCCACTCCAAAGCCCCTGTAATAATAAGGCCTTATGCCCGTTCATGAGGGCTCCACCTCCATGACCCCATCTCCTCCCGAAGACCCTACCTCCTCATGCCACAGTCTTTGGAGGTTGGGATTTCAGCATATGAATTTAGGGGAGGGACACAAACATTCAGACCTGGGCAAGTGAAATTGCTCTGCATGGATGGACTTATGAGCACTGAGGGTGGGAGAGGGTAATGACGAGAAATGGGCCAGAAGAGTAAGATCAGGAAGGGCCGAGGGAAGATCCTCTGGTACCCCTCAGGGACGGAGCATCATGATCGGCCTTTAGAAAGTTCCCCCCACAGCACCGTGGGGAACTGAGTGGGGGGCTCTGGGCTTCTCTTTACCGAAAACATGTCAAGCCCCTTATGACCTTGAACCTCAGCTCCATCTCACTAGGACCCAGCAGGGCCTGAGCTATTTGTGGGGCCACCTGTGGCACTGAGAATGACCTCACCCTCCTGTTTTGGCAGGTGCTACATCACTCTCACCCAGTCTCTGCACCTGACCATGAGTGGGGCTCCAGTGGGACCTGCAGGCACCGGCAAGACGGAGACCACCAAGGACCTGGGCCGAGCACTGGGCATCATGGTCTATGTGTTTAACTGCTCGGAGCAGATGGACTACAAGGTATAGGCCCAGCTTTGGGGGACTAGGGACTGGGCGGCAGCCCAAACCACTGGCCGGGTTTATCCACACCCCCTGGTCTGGCTCAGAGGCCTAGCCAAGGAGGTCCCTGCTTCTTCACAGGAGCCCTGAGGACCCTTGACCCCTGCAGTTTCTTTACCTCTCTGTAAAGCTTAGCACTGGGGAGTCTGATTCCACTGAGGAGCTTTGTGACCACAGATGGATTGCTTCACCTTTGGGGTCTTCCTTTTGTCATCTGTAAAATGAAGAAGCTGAGCATATACCCAAAGGCCTAAATTCATTATTTGACTCAGAACCACAGAAAGGCTCGTAAGTGGCTGATATAAAACCTTCACATAAACGTCACAGATGTATCTTCCGTGAAAGTGGGCATTTCCCCAGAATTTCTGAGAGGTTAAAATATTCTCCTAGGGCAGGTTTGACGTCTAAAGACAGACTAGATTAACCTCTGCTCTTAGCCAGAGATGCACAGAAGACAAGTACAAGGTGAATGCTCTTCGTTCAGGCATTTTTATCATATCATCATTTGTGTAGTTAGTGTGTTCCAGGCTCTGTGTTGCAGAGCAGGCAAGAGGAACAAGAGGCCCATTTGGCCACTTCTTAGCAGCATTCTGCTCACAACCAGACATTCTATAGGTTCTTTTTTTAAGAGAGCATGATAGCGGGTTGTTTCACAATCTCATTGCTTTTATTTTGATTTACTGTATGTATTTTTATAAACCTTCTCAAGTCCCTTTTGAAAATAAGATGGCATATAAATAAATTTAAAGTGAAAAATAAAACAATTGCATTAAATAGGTTAAATATTTATAGGTATAAATCATGTGATATATTGATTGCAAAATAAATTCGATTTAAAAATAGTTACAGAGACTGCAAGACAGCACTTGCAGATACCACACACAGACCTCGTTAAATGAGATTCATGTGCTGTAACTTTAATATTTCTCTTGTACGTGAAATTCTGCTGTGCAGAGTTGCAGAATCCTATAGCACCATGTTTTCTCGTGGAAAGCAAACTAAATGAGAATTCAGACCCAAAATAGCTGTCCTCCCATAGTCTACACACTACACTTCAATATGGTTGCTCTTACTGATGAATACATAATGTTTCTCTTTAACTCAGGCTGGAAGAAGAAAGATTCGCCCCCACCTTTAAAGAAACAAACTGAGCCTTAAGGCTTGTTTTCATTTTCTAGGTTCATCTAGAGTTAAGCAATGGCAGCATTGCTGAAATAACTGTGCTCTCCCAAGAGGAGCATTGTGGAGGGCACACTCATTTATATGTGGAAGATACATACCTGGGGTATTGATTGAAGAAAATCAGCCAGATTTCTTCAACGTCGTGCCTGACATAGGAAACAGGAAGAGAGGAGTTGGCCCCATGGCCAGGGGTCATTAAGGTCACTTTACCCAGTCCTTTCAAAAACTTATTACTAAACCCTGACCCCACCAAATCCTCTAAGAGTACAGGATGAGAGGAGGAGTCTATCCTTAATTTGAACTGTGGGAAGCTTCGCTCACGTGAACCTAGCGTAGACACAGATCAGAGCAAGAACAATAGGTATGGCCATAGTGAGACAAAACAAAGGAGGGGGGATTCCTTCCTAGAGAGCAGCAGCCTTTGTAGGAGCCCCACTAGGCAGTTTGCAGACCTCCCCTTCCCTTTGTTGTGCAGCTATTCAGAATTATTTTTGTCTCAAAGTACACTCCAGCAATCAAGCGAATTTATTGGATATCACCATTGCTCAGCATGTGTTGGGCATCATGGGAGGATATCACAGATAGATGTATAGATAATAGATGGATGGATGATAGACGGATGGATGGATGGATGGATGATAGACTGGGTGAGTGTGACACAGTGCATCTGGAGAGACAAGAATGATACAGGAAATAACTGGGGAGACACCAGACAGCATTACCCTGAGTGCTAATGTGCGTTCTACAAACTCTAATCCCTGGAATAGTCCAGCGTAGGGAGAGAGGCTCCGAGTGCGCTGGTCAGAAAAGACATCGTGGAGGTGAGACCTGAGGTTGTTTAAGGTTTGGGTGAATGCCAAACAGGGCATGTGACAGTTTAACCCATTAACACGTCAGCTTTAAGCACAGGACTGAGTTCTACGTGCAGTGTCCTTCCCCAGCTTCTCCTCGGACTTCTCCCTGAGCTCTCTTCACAGGGCTTGGCTGGGATGAGGAGAGGAAAGGAGTGAGGGTCAGAACGAGCCTTCACCAGGCGTCACTTGCAGCAACACGGTCAGTTTCAGGCTCTCTAGAGAACAAGCTAGACATAACATGGAGCCATGGTGGAGTCCGCGCAAGTGGACAGGGGAACAGGAGATGGGAGATGGGGGTGAGCGAGGGGAGGGACTCACTGAGCAGCTCTGACCTTGAGGTGCTGGGCTGCCAAGAGACCCCACGGGCTGTAGGACAGAAGCAGGAGCGTGATGAAAACGAACGGTCTTTAGGGAAGGCTCCTTGGGAGAAAGGAAGAGACTGGAAAGAAGGAGCATTTTTGGTGAGAACACTGCAGTCATGCAAACCAGAGCGTGAGAAGCCAGATGATGGGGTAGCAGAAATGGAGAAGAAAGAACAAAAGGCTTTAAAAAATTAACTGATACTTAGTGAACATGGGGAGGGGTGGGGGTGAAACAGGGAGGAGTTAAAGAGGAGAGTCTGGGCCGTCGTCAGGACCCTCACAATCCTCTCTGCCTCTACAAGGAGGCGTCAGGTAACAGGGTGGGCATGAGAGCAGTGCGGAGATTTGGAGAAAAGGGCAAATCACTGCTTTACTCTCAGTGCTGGCTGTAAAACCCATAAAACTAGCCACTTTCTCTGGAAATGGTTGCAATTTTAGTGCTATGGCATCCTTTATATGCTAGCAGCAACACTTTCCCCCTCGACCTCAATTTGGAGAGGCTATTGCTGAAGCATCAAATGATTTCGCACCTGGAAGTACGTGGAGTTCTTTATGACCTCCCCGCGGCATCCACACTGTAGAACGCCCACTCCTTCTTGAGAAACCCTCCCCTCCGGGCTTCTGAAACCTCATGCGTCCACAGCTCTCCCCTCTGACCCTGCCTGTTTACTCTCATTTTCTGGTCCCCTTGCACTTTTCAAGTCTCCCTTGTGTACCGATGACCCCTGCATCTATTTTCCAGCTTCACCCAAGTCCCAGTCTGTCTGTCTAGCTGGGCAACCGAGGCCTCCATTTGGATGCCCTTCTCTGATGCTTGGTTGACCCTCCTGCTGACTTCCTGTCTTCCTCCCGGCCAGATTCCTCTTCCCATCAGTACTGATAACTTCATTTTTCCCCGTGGGCCACGGTGGGCATCTTCAGACATCTTAATTGTCTCAGGTCCTTCCTTCTGTTGTTCCAGTCAGTCAGCAGCACTCATTCTTCCCTCAGCATCATCTCACTTCCAGGCTCCGACGTTACTCGTGTAGCCCTCATCCCAGCCCGGAGACTCAACATCTCCTGGCAGGGCAGCGCCACAGCCCATCTCACGGTGCCACTGTCCTCTGATGGGAGGGGTCAAAACTGAGGCCGTGTGGAGTCCTGGCTGATGCTCAGCCCTTGGGGGTACAGTGTGGGGTGACAGTTATCCCCCGTGGAAACTACTTTCTTCTCTTTTGTGTGTTGGATTTCCGTTTGTTGAAGGGGATCCACAGCTTTAAAAAGCTTTCGAAACCACTGTTACCATGGAAAAGCATGGATTCTGATTCTCAAAACTTAAACAAACAACAAAGGTTGTAACCTTTGACAGGCTGCCATATATATATAATATATATGTATTTTTATATGTATATATAAAATGTGTGTGATATGTACATGTAATGTGTGTGTCTGTGACATTTGACAGATTGCCATATATATATGTCAAACATCACATACACTGAGCAGAAGTCAGGAATATGTTATACACACATACATATGAAATATGAAATATATAGTTTATCATATATATGTGTGTATGCTGTAATAATATAATAATAGTAGTTACTCATGAATGTGTTAATAGTAATATCCACCTGTAGGATGTGGTCGAGCACACAGACACAACACCTGGACCTTACGTCACCTCCTCAGAGAGACTGCCTGTGACTTCTCAATCTGAAATAGCTACATTCAATTATATCTCAATAAAAACAGCCATATCACCCTCAAGTCAAGACTCCAGTGGGACGTATCACTAGCTGACAGTTTCTTATTTTTGTGCTTGTTGTCTGTTTCCCTTGTGAGAATGCAAGCCCCATGAGAACAGAGTCGCCTCTCCCTTGTTCAGGACTGATTACCCATGACCTGGGAGGATCCCTGGTGCATAGCACACACTCACTAAGTATGTGCTGTCTGAATAGAGGAATCAACTAATTTAAGAGGCTTAATAAAAGGTGGGGTTTATTCTTCCCTCCCTTTTCAAAGTCTGCCCTGCGTCCAACCTTGTTTATGCGATGTTAGACTGGTTCTCCTAAAATACTGATTTAACAACGCTTTTCCCTGCTGCAAACCTCCAAAGATCTCTTACAATAATTCAAGGCTTTTCAGAATCATGATCCCCTTTCTTAATTCAACTTTCAAGCCAAAATGATGTCCTTATTTTTCTCCGTACATATTATGATTTTGCTCTTGCTCTGTCCATAATCCTTCCTCCTCCAGGAAAGCCGTTACTCTTCCGTTATGCCTACATGGGTACTTTATCCTATTAAAACCATCATCCAAATGCATGCTTTGAAGGTAACATGTAGTTCTGTGGGATGCCAATACCCCAGGTCTTCTGACTTCTTTTCTTGTGTTCCTTCTACTACACTAATGTTTGCCAGAGTGCATTCTTTTTTTTTTATTGAAGTATAGTTATTTTACAATGTTGTGTTAGTTCCAAGTGTACAGCAGAGTGATGCAGTTATACATACATATGTGTGTTCTTTTTCATTACAGGCTATCACGAGATGTTGAATATAGTTCCCTGTGCATTCTGAGAAAACCAGGGGTCAAATGAGGAAAAAAAGTCCTAGCCATATAACAAAGTTGAACTAATTTAATTTTACCAAACTTCTCAGGGCCCTTAAAATGCTAATATATATTGTAAAATGACAAAAGTGAGTTACAGAACGCAGTGTTTTCCAAACTTGATTGACCAAAGAGTCTTGTCTTCAAGGAGCGCCTCCCAGCTTTGGCGTGCCGTGCAAGTGCTGTTGTAAAACCATCTGCAGTTCACCTCTTTGGCAAAACTGGTCACCCTGGGGCACTGTGACCCACCCCTCTCTGAACGCCATGACACTTGTAGTCTGTGTTATCCATCGAAACAACTGCTCATTAGCGATTTACCTGTTTTATTTGTGTACCGTATCTCCACAACCTAACTAAGGTCTTAGAGGGACTGACCCCCTCTGGGTCTAGCACATGAGCTATGCGTGGAGCTGAGGGCCAAAAATGCCCACTGAGTAAACAAATGGACTTTGGATTGTTTACTTGTTCCCAGCACTTGAATTTTGATTCCTTGCCTGTGGCCTTGAGTGTCTCCCAGTTACCTCTCCCTTTATATGGTTCCATGGTTTACTAGTCCAAGTTGAACGCCCAGAGTGGTTTTTATTTTTAGGACAGATACACCATCTGCCCTCTGAAATTCTTTCCTTGCTCTTGTTACAAAGACTTATGTGTAGTTTATTTCCTGTAGAGGTCATCCCTTCCCACTCCCACCTCCAGCTGCCTGTCACTCTGGAAAGCCTGAGTATCCGGCGTGGACTTAAAGATACAGACATAAACTTTTCCTTCAGCACATGCCAAAGGCTGAGCAGGCTTTTTTTTTTTTTTTTGGTCTGTATGGTGCAAGAAATATAATATTTTATTCATTTCCTGGGATCTTGAAAGCTACAGAATCAACAGTAATGCAAGCCTGATGACATTTTAAAGGGATTTTGGTCCAAGTGTCTTGAAAAGGTTCTGTTTGATCCCATGACTTACAGTGGCACCCAAAACCATCAAAATTTTAATTGTTCTTGAAATTTTAATACGAGTTTCTAACCAGTGGTCTTTAGGGAACTGGAAGTATCTATAATAAAGGGAACGGAAAATTACTTAGATGTGTAATGGTAAGCCGGTGCAGATAGTAATGTAATCTTCGTACATTTTATTACAGTCTTGCGGCAACATCTACAAGGGACTCGCTCAGACCGGTGCCTGGGGCTGTTTCGATGAGTTTAATCGAATCTCCGTGGAGGTCTTGTCGGTGGTGGCAGTGCAGGTATGGGGGGTCTCTGTGCCAAGCACTGGGGACAGCTGCATCCTCTTGTTTTTAAGCTCTCCTCATCCACTGGCTGGTATCCTCCCCTATCCCCCCCCACCCCACCCCAGCTGCATTTCATGGCCGTTCCTCCACCCTCTAAACTCAGGCCGGGGGGCAGGATATGGGTATCATGCAGGTCCCCACCAAGGGGGATCCGATTACTGGCCGTGAGACTCCATTTCCTCTGTAAAATGGGAAGAAAGAACAGGCACCCCGCCTGCTTCATCAGGGTGAGGAGAGGATCAAACAAGACGTTGGCACCCGGCTGCCTGGAAAGGGCATCATACCACCATGGGCTTTGGGACTGCCAGACCAGGGCTTAAAATTCTGCTTCTCCATTTCCTCACTGAGAGTCTTGGCCGGTGGCCCCAGCAATCTCAGCCTAATTCACTTAATTATGTACAAAGAGAGGATGACAATGTGAGTGTTGAATGAAGAAAGTCATTTGGGGGGGTTAGAGTTTCTCGAAGCATGCCACTGTCTTTCAGTTCATCCAGAAAGCACTTACTGAACACCCACAGCGTAGTAAGTGCTGTGCTCAAGGCCAGGGTGAAGGGCCCGCAGCTGAAAGGGCACCATTCCTAACTTCAAAAGCCTTGAGTTCTTGAGGCACTCTCCAGCGTTCTGGAAGGCATTTGATTTCTGACTCACAGTGTGGGACGAGACTGCCAGGCACGTGATCTTGAGCCGAGGCCTTAAAAAGATGGAGAGGATTTGGATTTGGGTAGAGATCCCATAGACGGTGGGAGCAGGAGGTGGGTGGCAGAGAAAAGTGAGTGAACGTTGGTGAAAGGCTGTTCTGTACCAGGTGCTTCTCACGCATCTTCTCCTGCATCTTCTGTCATCTCCTGTGTCTCCTGTATCCCCCCGCAGCCCTAGGAGCCACTGTTAGCACGTGTATATGAGTATACATATCCAGAGAGAGACAGAGGGAGAAACTGCAGAGCAAAGAAGAAAAATAACTTGCTCGAGGGCACACGGTTGGCAAGTGAGGACACTAGGATTTGACCCCAGCTCCCCACGCACGCTGTTGGTGCAGGTCTGGACACCAATCCGAGATACAAGGGGTGAAATGCTAGAGAAGAGAATAAGGCCAGGGAGGCAGGTTTGAACCAAATATAGATGGACCTAAATGCCGTGGTGTTGTGCCTTCTTCAGTGGGCAACGGGGAACCCCTGGAGACCTCTGAAAGGGAAATTACCCCTCTCCTTGGACACAGTTTTAAGGAGGGACCAGGCAGGGGGAGGATCAGTGGGTCCTAATTGGAGCTTGAAGGCCTAAACAGAGCCCCATGGGCCCCAGGGGTGTGTGGGTTCTGATTGAACTCACATACCATTCAATCAGAGATGATTCCATTTTATGTTACTGTTTGCTTTTATTTCCGAAGCAGTATGTTCACAGTACGGAAAAGGAAAACTAGAGCTGTGAGGGCCTCTTTGGTCCCTGTAGGCCTCTGTTTAATTCTTTCAGGTCCAGACAAAGAAACAAAAGTGTAGCTTAGCTGACGCAAGCGTGCAGGGTTGAGGGAAGGCGCAGCGGAAGCGGGGAGTGGGTGGGGAGCTGGCTGGGGCCGCATCCTCCTCCTCCAGCCAGCCTGCCTTCCCTGGCAGGAGCTGGCCTCCAGCCACGTGACCCCCACCTGCCGTCTCCCCTCTCATCCAGGCTTGCTGTCCCTGTCACAGGTAGGCTGGACCTGGAGCTGTGGGCAAGTGCTGACACCACCACAAGGCTGAACAGTGGTGGAACCTGCACCATCAGCTAATGCCATGGCCCACCCTGGTCTCATTTGCCACTGGGAGCCACAGGTGGTCCGGGGGCTGCATAGGGTCCCTTCGTTTTCCCCTCCCCAAAGTCAGGCTTTCCATCTCTTGCATTTGGCTGCCAGCTGGTGTTCCAACTCACTGACGCTTGTTTGGACTGTTTCTTGGTGAAGTTCCTGAAAGTTGCAAAAACGTAGGGCTCTTCTCTCATTCCCAGAGGCCATGTATGGCTTTCCCCCTTCCTTAGGTTTGTTCAGTGCAGCAGGAGCTAGTAAAGGAAGTAAGTCGAATAGCTGGCCTGCGTACTGTCTCGGCTGAAAACCCTTGACTGTCTTGGTTCCCAAAAGCTGCCTGTGCTGTCACGATGACAGCTTGAAGCTGGCTGTGGCAGGAGTATTCCCATCACAGAAACAGACAAATCCTGTAATCAGGGCATTTTGTTTTCCTGGAGAGCTGGTTGTTACACGTTTACCGGCACACCTCTGCCTTGTGAGAATATGGTGCCAGTGTTGCCAAATCTCTTAAAATTTAAGGAGCAGCTGAAAGTCCAATTTTTATTAAAAAATTTTAGATTTCTAAAAGTTGACGAGGTATCCAGTTAAAAACAAAATAAAACAAAAAACCTGAGCTGAACAGATAAAACACATCAGCTGCCTGCATTCACCTCTGAGCAGTCACTGCACTGCTTGGAACCAGGAATGATGCCCCTGTGAGGATGGTTTGAATTTCGTGATGTAAGATGTGGCGTAAAACAAAGAAAACAAGCCTTTCTGGAAGGACTGATTCTAGGCCTGGAAGGGTTCTGAAAATCAGGAGAGAAGCATCAGCTTCTTGGCGTGGTGTCCGTTGGGATCAGTAACCCATAATTTTACCATGTGCCTGGAGTTTTTCTTTTACTTCTTCCAGTGCAGCTACCTAAGCAGCCAGCGTCTTCCTCCATCTTTTCATTCCCTTGCTCACTGTCCTCTGATATTTCTACCCACCTTTCTGTCCACATGTTTCATCTTTGCTGTTACGACTTTCCGCACCATCTCTTGGCTGCTTGCCTCAGTTTTCTGAGGGTGTTTCTCTTTCAGCTAGGTCCCCTGCTGTTACTGCCCTCCCTTGAACCCAGGGCCGTTCATCACGAGTAGTCACACCTCTGCTGTCCCAGTGCAGCACTCAGTGCTGGGGGCTGCCACTGGGCTGTCTCAGTGTGTCCTGCAAGGAGATGGGGGAAGAGCAAAGGGAAGCCGTGAGAGCCAGACCAAGGGCCGCAGAGAGCTCGTCGTGAGCTCCAGAGGTTGTATGAGCGAGTCCCATGTACAACTGGGATTTTAAAAGGAACACATTCTTGTAGAGTGGAGTTAGCCAGACATGGAGCTGGGCAGTGGTTATGTGTGCAGGCTCTGGTACCACACTATCAGCATTCAATTCTGATTCTGCCACTTACTAGCTGTGTGACCTTGGGCAAGTCCATGTCATGTTTACATCTGTAAAGGGGGTTAATAATAGCATCTACTTGATGCAGTTGTGATCATTATTAAATGAGTTAACATGTATAAAGCACTGAAAACTGAGCCCTACACATGTAGGCACACAATAAATGTTAGTCTCTGTTATGGTGATGATGACGATGGTAATGGTGATGGTGGTGATGATAATGGTGATCATGGTGATAGTGATAGTGGTGATGATAATGATGGTGATGACCATGATGAAGGTGATGATGATGGTAGTGGTGATCATGGTGATGATGATGATGGTGATGACCATGATGAAGGTGATGATGATGGTAGTGGTGATCATGGTGATGATGATGATGATGGTGATGACCATGATGAAGGTGATGATGATGGTGATGACCATGATGATGGTGCTGCTGGTGGTGATTATTATTATTGTCTGAACCCTGCAGGAAATGGGTTGAAAGAAAGTAGAAGGGACACACAGGACAGGGAAGAAGGATCCACACCTGGTCTCACCAGTCTCCTCTGCACCCTTTGCTCCTTCTCAGCTGGCCTGGGCTCAGGCTGTCTTAACAAGCTGAACAGTGTCCTAAACGAGGAGGCAGAGCCCAGCAACCACGGTCCCCAGTGCATCATAGACACTGTGAATTTGCCTGATTTTGAAGCTGCCCAATACAAATTCGTTAGTGAGTTCTCCAGATCAATTCCCTTTTGCTTCTGGAAGTAAAGGAAATAAGTTCAACCCAGAATTCCCTGATGCTTCCACATTCTCATCTAGGAAGACATCCATAGGAGACATTCTCAAGAAAGTGGTCTGACAACAACCTGGGCAAAATCAGAGCTAGTACCACTTAAAATCATAGACCCATCGAAGGAGAAAATTGCACTTAGCTATTCACACCGCAGACTAGGCTGGCAAACTGGTTCACAAGCCGCACCAGCCGGCCGTTCTCCCCGCCCCCGCCCCCTCCACTCGCTCCTTGCATGTCTGTGCGCCTCTTCCCAGTCACTTCCACAAAAGTGAGCATGCTTCGGTATCCTTGGGGGTGGAAATTTTCATGTCTCTGTCACTGGTCAAGCAGAATTGGGAGAAGTATGGCAGTTCCAAGAGCAATTACTCTGTTATTTTTAAAACGTGTAAGATACTAAACTTCTGAGGGGACTTCTTCTGCCACTACTGCTGCAATCGGCTCCCTAAGCCTTGGGTTATCCGGGCCCAGGGACTTTGGCCACCAAGACACACCCCACCACTCTGTACCTCCAGCCCCTACTCCCCGTCCACACTCCCTGGCCAGGCGTCCCTGCCACTTCCTCCCTTCCAAAGGTAGAACCTGACAGTGTGCTGGGCTGAGGCAGGAAGCAGCCGGAAGCAGCCAGTCATGCAAGGATCAGGAGCCCACCACAGCCGTGTTCTCAGTACTCAAGGCACTGAGCAAATGCTAGAGTCTCAGAGCCTAGGGAGCTCCCATGTAACACCCTGTATAGAGGAACTTAAGGTCTCAGTTAAAAACACAGAAATACATTTTTTTAAATGTACAAAGTGATGAGTGGGTTGCACTTCCCGAAGGCAGCAGACTCCAGTCTGCCCCTGCAGAGAGAAGCGTGGAATGAGCCAGGCAGGATTGTAATACCACACGGCTTTTGGGGGCAAAGCTGAAAGAGAGAATGACCCAGGGGACCACAGAATGAATGGCCCACTTCCCTAGAATATAAGGGGAAAGGTAGAAGGTATGGAGAAAAAGCTGCGATGAGGCACGTAGCTTAGGGCGAGCCGATGAGCTCCTGAAAATGTGTCACCTGCAGGGAGGATAGGATGACTCTGATACTTCACCATCGTGGCTGATGCGAGGCCCTAGCCTGGGCAGGAGGATGTGGTGTGGAACCCCCTGTGATCACCAACTTCCAGTCTTTGGAGGGAAAGATGCCACTTAAACTATCCAGTCAAGGCCCATGGTGGTCAGACAAGCACACACGGCTTGTGCAGGTAACAGCAGCGCTCACTGAAGTCAGAGCTGGCCTGCGTCTACACCTGCCCACTAGATGCCAGCAACAACCCACCTGCCCCCAGCTGTGACAACAAAACTGTCTCCAGGCCTGGCGACATGCCCCCTGGGGAGGGCAGGTGCAAAGCCACCCACAGTTGAGAACACTGGTCTCTACATAGCTTTCCATTTTTGTTTGTTTTCTTTAATGGGTAGCAAAAACACTTAATTTTTTATTGAAGTGTAGTTGATTTACAATGTTAGTTTCAGGTGTATGGCAAAGCAATTCAGTTATACATATACATGCATATATACTTTTCTTTTCAGATTCTCTTCCAATATATGTTATTACAAGAAATTGAATATAGTTCCCTGTGCTGTACAGTAGTAGGTCCTTGTTGTTTATCTGTTTTGTATTTGGTAGTGTGTATCTATTAATCCCAAATTCCCTATGTATCCCTCCCTTGCTCTTTCCCTTTTGGTAACCATAGTTTGTTTTCTATGTCTGTGAGTCTGTTTTTGGTTTGTAAATAGAACTTGTATTTTTTTTAGATTCCACATAGAAGTAATATCATTGATATTTGTCTTTATCTGTCTAACTTCACTTAGTATGATAATCTCTGTGTCCATCCATGTTGCTATAAATGGCATTATTTCATTCTTTTTTATGGCTGAGTAATATTCCATTGTATAAATATACCACATCTTCTTTATCCACTCAACTGTCAGTGGGCATTTAGGTTGTTCCCATGTCTTGGCTGTTGTAAATAGTGCTGCTATGAACACTGGGGTGCAGGTGTCTTTTCAAATTGTAGTTTTCTCCAGATATATAGTGCTCCAGAAAAGCACCTTTTTTATTTCATGGAAACTTAATGTCTCTAAATTATAACACACACAGTTACTCAGAAATGGTGTATGTTTGATGAGAAGCTGTGTGTGGCTGGCACAGGGTCCCTACTGGTAGAAGGCTGTGTAGGGAAGTGGCTAAAAGTTTGTGCTTTGGCCCCTGATTGCCTGATTTTAACTCAGGTTGCCCCACTTACCAACTATTAGACATCTGGCAAGTTTTATTTTTATTTTTCTTTCAACTTTTTAATTGTGAATTTATTTTAGCATTGTAGAAATTACAGAAAACCAATCATAGAAAAGTTGCAGAAATAGTGCAGTGTTCCCATATATCCCTCCGCTAGCCTCCCCGATGTCAGCGTCTTCCATTACTGTAGTACCGTCTGAACTGCCTTCTGCTGCCGTTTCCTCGTCTATAAAATGAGGTTTTCACCGGTTTCACACAGCTGTTGCGAGGACTGAATGGGATAATTCACATAAAATTCTCAGAAAAGCACCTGATACATATAAGTGCTCAGTAAACGTCAGTTATTATTTTATTATTGTTCCGCAAGGCTTTAAAATCTCCAAGTGATGATTGTTTAGTGGAGAAACAGACCTCCTTGAGTGAGGAGTGTACCTGGCACCTTAGATACTGTCCTTCCCTAGCTGTGTGTGCCCCTCCACCTGGCTGGGCTTGCAGTTTACTCCAGACGATCTCAGTCCACCTGCTTCTCCCCCCACCCCCGGCCTCCTGAAGGACCTCTGGACTTTGTCAGGGCCCTCTGGACCCAGACCACTGCTGGAGTCCAATGGCTTGTTCCCTGGACCTCGGCTGCTTGTAAGGCAATGAGGAAGTGCCAGGCAGATTGTCTCCGGTCCTGTACAAGCCGGGCTGATGGAGCCTGCTGTCCGCACTGATGCTCCGCACTGATGCGTCCTTGAGTCTGTTCAACACTCTCCCTCAAGAGCCCCCTACAGAATTTTACACAGAAGCCCAGATGCCACCAGTGCTACAGTGCACCATAAATTCTCGCTGAGCATGAGGTTTCTGGGCCTCGGTGTTGCAGGAGGAAGTGCTGAGTCAGAACCAACAGCAGGAAGGGTCCTGGGCTTTGCTCTCGCCCAGAGGTATCAGGGCAATTTGTAAGTGGTAATTAAACTCCCATGCCCACCCCATAACAAGGGGAGAGCTCACTGTATTTTACAGAGGGGAGGACTGAGGCCGAAGGAGAGAGCCCAGCCTTTCCCACTCACGGAACCCGCGGGCTGGCGAGGGTGGTGAGAGGCAGAGCTGGCGCCCCGGGAACCAGCAGAGCTCGAGCTGTCTGGCCGGCATGCCCTGCGCTGGATCCAGGCCACCTCTGCCAGAACGCACTGACATTCTGTGCACGCGTGGAAAAGAAGTTTCAGTCTTGAACTAATTGCTGTGAGCTCAAACGCTTTCTGTCATTAGAGCTTCGCTTTGAGTAGAGGAGCTGAATCCCAATTGTGGAATCGTCTCGTGTTGTGGCAGACACTGCCCTGCCAGGCCTAGGGTGCAGAGGAGGGGGGCCTGGACCAGTGCTAGATGGTCCAGCTGCCTGCAGTCTCTCTGTCTCTGTCTCTGTCTGGTGCATGGGCCACTGTCTCTCTCTCTTTTGTTTATGGTCCAGCTGTCCCTCTCCCTTTTATGCACTCCAGCTGTTTTTCTCTGTGCCTCTCTCTCTCACAGACACATCCCTGCAGCCCAGTCTCCACAGAACCCGTGGGTTATTCTGAACACCCTGAGCATAGCTAGTACGCATGGGACGCATTCAAACCCTCGCGCTGGGCCAAGCTTTCAGCTTCGCTCTTGAGAATCCTGAGGGGCTGGAAATGTTCAGAGACGTTCTGGGGCCTGGCTGAACAAGTGAGCCCCTTCTGTCTTCCCCTCTTCTGTTGCTGAGCGTGCTTGCACACACTTTTCCAAAGCAGATGTGAAAATAAGTGGCTGGATTTCATTTCTGTCTCTCCTCCCACTGCTGTAAGAATGACGTATAATCTAGATCCGAGGGGGTCAGGCTTCAGCTCAAATCCTCTCTGGCTCCAGACCACATTTAAGGAAAAGTCTGATCTCTTTAGACAGGCACTGAGAGCCCCTGAGGGCCCGGCCCCGGCCCCCCTCGCTGCTGCAGCTTTTTCACTCCCACGCCCGCAGGAGGCACCTGTGCTGCTAGGGCCTGCTGTGGAGGTGGAGACCCGGAGTGGCCCAGAGGGGTTAACCACGATGAGGAGCGCCCTGCGACGATGGTGGTCATGTTAACAGTTTCCACGTTAGCTGTTCTTTAAGCGTTTTCTGTGTGCTAAGCTTTATTTCATTTACTCCTTAGAGCAAGCCCAGCAGGTAGGTTCTCTCTCACGCAGCGGCCAAGAGCTCAGGCCCCAGAATCCCTGTGTTGGATTCAAATGCGGCCAAGAGCTCAGGCCCCAGAATCCCTGTGTTGGATTCAAATGCAGGCTTGAGCACTTGGCGGCTGTGTAGGGAAGAGCAAACTACTCCACCTCCTGGTGCTTCCGTTTCTTCCTAGAGAAAGAGGGCTGATGGTACCATAGCGTCCGCTCAGGATCGTAGCGAGGAGAGAAGGAGTTAATACATGAATGTGCTCTGGACAGCGGTCAGTGCTCGTACACCTCTCTTACTACTGCAGAGGGACCGGCGCTCAGACAGTTGTGGGCTGTTCACCCCCAATCCCTTAGCCGCTGCGTGATGAACAGATATGGGGACGTGCGCCCAGTGCCCATCAATAAGGGGTCCAGGGCGCCGTCCCCACACCTGTCCCTCCAGGAAAGAGGCCCCAGAGCAAGTGTGTGAGTTGTGTGTGACCGTGGGCTCCCAGCTTTCGCTCCCACCTGCCCCTGAAACGTGGTGGATGCATTTTCCCATGGCTCGTTCACCAGGTGAAAAGCATTCAAGATGCGATTCGAGATAAGAAGCAGCGGTTCAACTTCCTTGGGGAGGAGATTAGCCTGAACCCTTCTGTGGGCATCTTCATCACCATGAACCCAGGCTACGCCGGCCGCACGGAACTCCCGGAAAACCTCAAGGCTCTGTTCAGGTGAGCGTCCACTCTGCCCCATGCACGGGCCCCGAAGAGAGAAGCTTCTTTTATTTTTGCCACTGAAAATGTATGATGTATATATTAAAAGAAATGTGAGATATGTAAAAAAAGTAGATTTTACAAAACCATGTTTAGCACCATCACTAGTAAAATTATTTTTTGCTTAATTGTGCTCTGTTCTTCTTTACAGGCGTATACAGTCATGCATTTGTAGTCTACGTTTGTGGTCTGCACACAGTTTCTTTTTATTGTTTTGCTTTTTCATTTAGTAGTCTATCATACCCCAGTCGTAAATAGTTTCTTTTTCTGTGAGAAGTCTTAAGAAATCTCATTTCATGACTGCATTTTATTCTATCAAGTGCATGGTCCACAATGTAATTAACTAGTCACTCATAGTTAAATGTTAAGACTGTTTCTAACTTTTAAAATAAATGTATGCATCATGCTATAATATACATAAGTATTTTTCCTGTATGCGTGATTATTTTCTTTGGCTAGCTTCCCAGGAGTGGAATCACTGTGTTAACAGGGAGGAACGTTTTTGAAGCTTTTGATGCACACTGCCAAATTACTTTCTACAAAGAGCGGTGCCGAGTTACACTCCCAGGAGCAATGCATGAGAGCACCTTTTTTTATTTTACTTTTGCCACCAGTAGATATTGCCATGTTTTAAAATCTTCTTTATTGTGGTAAGAAAACACTCTAGCAGGGGCTAGAGTCTCCATTCTTTTTTTTTCCCCCTCGGAATAAGAGAAGTCAGCTCAACAAAGAGAAAACTGAAAGATGCTTCATGGCTTCTGATTGCCTGCCTACCCGAGAGAGAGATGACAAGGCTGTTTGTCTCATCTTTGGACTGAGACCCAGTGCTCTCTGTCTGGGGACATGGAGGCCCAGGAGGCCACTGGAAAGCTCCCTGCATCCTCCAGCCCCTCCGTTTTCCCTGCTCCAGGGGTGGTGTTTTATCTCCTCCTTCAGGCAGGAGGAGTCTTAACCAAGACCTTGTCAAGATGTCAGCAGGCCGTGTGAACCGGTGCCACAGAATATTGTAGTGCTCACTGTTTACCTGCAGAGTGTTCATTCAATAAGCCCTGTGTCACGAATGGTACTGGACAGGGGTTATCACCCTGATAAGAATGATTCCTTCCATTTTTCTCCCCTCCACTTAAAGGGAACACATATCCATAGAAGAAAGTTTGGGGAGAAGGGAACAGAAAAGTACTTGGAAAAATGATAAGTACAAATACCTCCTTTTACCTTTAACTCTCACAAAAACTCTTATGAGGTGGCTACTTACGAGGACCCCCGGTATTGCGAGAAAGCAGATTCAGCACACGGCCCAGGGGAGTCACCCTAGTCCTCGGGGTGGCTTGTAACCCAGCTAGTAAGTGGCTGAACCTGAGTGTGAACCCCAGAGGATGAGCTCAGGCAGGCCAACTCCAGACTCTGCCCCTCCCCCTCCCAGGGCTGTCATCCAGAGGGAGGCAGTGCGACCCTTTGGCACCTTCCCTCCAATATTGTGTGGGCAGAGTTCTTTTTCAAACTTGGGATCAGACTCTGTATAGCTGAGTACCCCGCCTTCATTAATTAACGTCTTCCCACGTCACTCAGTAGTTTTTCTTCTACAGCATCATTTTTCATGGCTTCGTTGCACTTTGTTGTATGGGTGCATATTTAACCCTATTTCAGGTGGCAAAATAATTTGGAGAATCCAAGTATTTGGTTGCTCCTTTGAATTTGAATACAGTGTAAAATAATATAAAGGGAAAAATTTACTTGAATGATATGTTTTTGAAAATTTTATATCAGTGTAGGGAAAATTCAATTTAAAAGACGTAACAATGTTGGGCTCTTATTACGTCCCTAATAAATTAATCTTAAAATTAAGTATTTTTAAAATTGAATGTTTCTAGAGCCAGTCACTGTAAATCCTTATCTATAGACAAAAATCCCCTTCTGTAGTCTCATGTTTGGCATTTTGTGGCAAGGTGGGGTTAATAGGTGGCTACTTCAGACTTCAGCATTAGGTATTTACATTTGTACCCAAGTAACTGAGTGTCTCTTCTTGGAGGAGACAAGTTTTGAGGATGAGAAATATATTTTCATTTTCTTGTAGATACCAAGAGAGACTCAGTTCTTCAACTTTAGCCCCTAGGCTATTATAGAAGACCACTAATCTGTAATCTACTCATTGCCAAGGGTTTACGAGCCTGTGCCTTGTGTCAGGCACACTGGACTCCAGTGACAAGACTTGAGTTATGGCCCCAACTCTGTCCCTATCTGCTAACATCCCCCGTCATCTTAAGCAAGAGAGTTCCCCCCCCTTATCCTCAGTTAACTGGTCTTTAAACTGAAAGTCTTTGATGGAGCAATGGCTGAGGTCTCAGTTTTTACCCTCACAGATGCCTCTGTCCCTGATCTCAGCTAGTGTCTCTTGTCTTACAAGCCCCCCGCAACTGTGTGGCTGGGAGGCTGTCTCAGCCCTCTGTCTCCCTGCCCGCAGGCCTTGTGCGATGGTTGTTCCAGACTTCGAGTTGATCTGTGAAATCATGCTGGTGGCAGAAGGATTCATCGAAGCACGGTTATTAGCCAGGAAGTTCATCACCCTTTACCGGTTGTGCAAAGAGCTTCTCTCCAAACAGGTACACTCCCTAGTGAGCCCGGGCGACCAGTCATGTGTGATTGACCCAGCTGGGGACGCATTCTGGGGCCAAGGTGTTAGGGAAACATTAGAACCTTCTCATAAAGAAGTTCTGGAAACTTCTGGTATCAAGATTCATATTCATTTTCTTAACCCAGCATTAAAAAAAATACTATTTGGCCACAAAACTCCATTTTTTAATAGAATACGTAACAACACCTCACAGATTACTGGTGTCCCATGAGGAACATTGCGGTGGCAATGACAGTCCTTGGAGGGAGTGGTCTCTGAGGAAACAGAGAGTGGGGGAGGGTTGGAGAGAGAGAGTTAGGCATTAAGGGGCCCCACACTGCTCGTGGCTGCTGGTCCTTAAATGTGGCTTCTGCCCAGGGCAGGTCCCCTAGCCAGAAGAGCATCCTGCAGGATGATCATGAACCTCCAAGTTTTATGCCTTAGATGGATAATTTCTTGGAGTCAAGTTCAGCCAGTCGAGCTTCCTGGGCTGTTGTTCCCAATGAGTTTCTCTTCCTTTGGGGTTCTTTCAAGTGGACCGCTTTTGCTGCCACAACACAGGCTCTCTCAGCCAGGTGAAGTCTGTCCAATATGGATTAAAACACACACACACACACACACCGGCTCCTGTTTCCTCCGTACCTCCCACGCCCCCGCTCGCTGCGTCCTCTCTCTAGGCTCTCGACCACCGTTGGCTTCCGGCCCAGTGACTCACTCTTCTGACTCGATCCCAAACCTCTCTTTTGAACTCTGAGCCTGTATATACAGTGGTCTGTGCCACATGCTCCCCGACTGCCTAAAACACACCTCCAACTGAGCATCTGAAGCTGGTGGTCCTGCCAGCCCCACCCCAGGCCCACTTGTGTGTCAGGGCTTCAGCGGAACGATCGTTTACTCACTCGCCAATTCTGGAACCCTGGGAGTTATCCTTGCCACCGCCTTCTTCCTCAGCCTCACGTCTAGTCATGGATGAAATACAGTTCGTTCTACCCTGTGGATGTTTCTCAAATACATCTCATTTTCCTTGTACCACTTTTGTCCCAAGCGCCCATGTCTCTTGCTTAAACCCTGGGAACTTCTCCCCACTGGTTTCTCCACCTCTGCTCTAGTCCTTTGAATCTGTCTTTTAGCCACTAGCTGGAGGGGTCATTTAAAAATGCTCCTCCCTGTACTTAGGATAAAGACCAGCATCCTTGTCACTCCCGCAAAGGACTGTGTGTGGCTCTGTCTCCTGCCCGCTCCCGCAGCTTCAGGTCACAGCCTTCTCCCGATGGGGCTCCTGCCTATGTTCAGTGTACTCTGAAGACGGGGGACGTGGCGGTTGTACCTGGGCTAAGGGTCAGACATCCCTGAAGGAACAGTATGAAGGAAGACCTGAGGGAGTAGAAGTCAGTGAAGTGCAGACGGGAGAGAAGTGCAGTCAAGGCCAGAAGGAACAGGATGGCCACGGGCTCAGGGGTGGGGAGACAGTGTCCGGTGTCGCCGCCAGGTCCCTTGTCTTCGCTGCTCACTGAGTTGCCCTTTGTAGCATGTGTCACAACTCTTAAGTAACTATCTGCTGTGAAGCAAGTAGCAGAGCTGGGACTTGAACACAGGGCCGTCCGAGTTCCAAGCCTATGCTCTGAGCTGTACACCCACACCCCCCAGTCCCCCACACTGCTCCGAGCCCTGATTTCAGCTGTGCAGTCGTATGGGCCACTCTCCCCTGGAGTCTGCTGTCAGCACTTGTGACCCACGGGTTCCACTTTTGACAAGAATTTGAAGGAACTACTTTTTAAATTCCTTTCCTTGGAGAGTTTGAAGGCCTCCGAGGAGGAGCATGTAAGGTCAGCCTCAGCCATCTCTGAGAGCTAACACGTCTCCCTTCTTGATAACCCTTGCACCCTCTGAATGATCAAGGAGTAGCCAGAGTCGGTTTGAAAGCGGTTCTGTGTAATCTCCCGACCCTGCCGGAGCCGTCTGTTATGTTCTGTGTCTGCTTTGTTGTCATGGCAGCTGGAAAAGTAACTGAGCCAGACCAGGAGCTAGGGTCCCGGGATCATGAGCTCCTGTGTCGCTGAATCCTTCCCTTTGCCTCTGCCTTGGCCTCGGAAGTGACCTGGTGCTGATGGGACACTAATTCTGCAGACACTGGCCCGAGCCCGTGGTGCCCTGCGTCCCAGCAGCTCCAGTCTCACCCTCGCTGCCTTCCCACAGGATCACTATGACTGGGGCCTGAGAGCCATCAAGTCCGTGCTGGTGGTGGCGGGGTCCCTGAAGCGAGGAGACCCTGACCGGCCCGAGGACCAGGTCCTGATGCGCTCCTTGAGAGACTTCAACATCCCCAAGATCGTGACCGACGACATGCCAGTGTTCCTGGGCCTGATCGGAGACCTGTTTCCCGCCCTGGATGTCCCTCGGAGGAGAGACCTCAACTTCGAGGCTCTGGTTAGGAAGGCGGTAGTGGATCTGAAGCTCCAGGCTGAGGACAACTTCGTGCTCAAGGTACATGGGGTTTTCCCTCCCAAGGTTCCTTTGTCTCTAAATTCTTGGACAGTGAGTTACACTTCATTCTTAATTCACAGCGTTACTTTAGATGCCCAGTTACTCACCTACTTTGTGATAGCTCAGGGCATTTCCATAGCTCTTTACTGGGACACCCACAACGTGGGGTGGGCGGGGAGGAATGCAAGAGAAGCACAGGGCCCCTGCAGGCAGGGGGTTCTCCAGTAACAGGGGCTGGGCCAGGGGCTCTGCTGCAGCACGCGCTCCCTTCCTGTGAGTTACTGTGCTCACGGTTACGCGGGAGTGCCAGTGGTGTAGCGTGGAAGCCGTGTGGGCTCACACGCCTTCGTCTGAGCTGCTGAGTGCTCTGAAGTGATCTTTTTACAAGCTTTTTACAATTGAAGAAATGCCTTAGGGTGGTAGGCAGAATAATGCCTCCCCCAGGCCCCACCAAAGACGTCCACACCCTAATCCCCACAGCCTGGATGTGTTACATTACACGGCAAGGTCACAATGGCATTAAGGTGACTAGTCAGGCGACTGGGATGTAGGCAGATGATCCTGGTCTATCCAGATGGGCCAGCAGAATCATGACGCCCTTTCCAAGTGAAAGAGGGAGGCAAGAGAGTGTCGCAGCGACGCCATGGAGGAAGACTCAACCAGCCACTGCTGGCTTGGAGGATGGAGGGAGGGGCCACGAGCCAGGCAATGTGGGCAGCCCCTGGAAGCTAGAAAAGGCAAGAAAAGCAATCCCCCTCACCCTCAAGCTTTCAGAAGGAACCAGCCCTCAGTGCCTTGATTTGAGTCCAGTAAGACCCATTTTGGACTTCTGCCCACCTAAACTGTAAGATAATAAATTTGTGGTGTTTTAAGCCGTTAAGTCTGCAATAACTTGTTACAGCAGCAATAGAAAAATGAATACTTTCAGCAACAGAAACAGACTCTAAGAGAAAACCTTCAGACTTCCCTGCAAGTGTAACTAGTTTATGGCTATAGGAACCATGGTGGTTTGTGTGGTTTTCTGGGGAGGCTCTGGGTAGGTGAAGTCACTTCCTCATGTGTTAAGACAGTGGATTAATGAGGAAGGCTCTACCTACATCAGCTCTTCAGTTGTGATTAAAATGGTCTTCATTAGAAATTCACATATCCGTGATCTTCCTTTTGGAAGAAGCATAAGCCCTCCGCAGGTTTAAGGCTTCACGGGATAGATGCACAGGAGGCGGAGTGCAAGCTCGCCGGCGACTCAGCTGCGCTAGAGTTTGTGCTGGGGTCAGGGTGCATCGCTGAGTATTTAGGGTCTGGGTACCTTTGAGTAGTCTGCACTGGTCTTGTTTTTCCATAAGTCTTATTTTCACTGAGCAGCTTTGCAGAGGGTAACGTTTTTAGGGTGCACACACATTGTCACAGTAGAAGGGCCTGCACACAAATAACTCGACCTTGGAACAGGTTGTGGCAGGTGCCACAAAAGAGGGTCCTGGGGCCCAGGGACATAGACATAAATTTTTTTCCTATGCAGAAATATCCTTAGGAATCCCATGAACCTCACCTTAGGGTTCACAAGCAGTTTTGTTTTGTGTATCACATCTGATCCCCACCCTCCCTGAGGCTGAGGCACTTTACAGATGGGGGCACTGGGCCACCTGCCGGTACTTCTCCAGGATACAATGCTCAGCTGCTTCACAGGAGAGAAAGTGCTCCTCCCTGAGGAACGACTGGCGATGGGGTGGGGAGGTCTGGTTCCTTCTACTCCATTCCAGGAGATGCTTCTAGCATGTGATACATGCATTGGTTGAGATTAAGGCCTGGTTCCATATAAGCAGAATTGCACATTGGTGTCTGCTTTCCCTTCTGAGTCCATTTTATGGAAGAGAGCAAAGCATCACCTGGTCCCTTGCAGCTGTGATTGACTTTGCCCATGGGCCCATCCCCACCCCCAGCCTCTTTCCTCTCGAGTTCAGTGGGTAGATTCTTTAGAGGCAGCGATAGGCAGGAGTGCCTCGAGATAGAGGGAAGGGGGTCAGCTAGGGGTAGATGGGGACACATACAGAGATTGTCCAAACCACAGCAAGAAGTCCAGTGTCTCTAGAGAAAAAGGTGCTGGGGTTGGGGAGGAGGAGGGCAGTAGGACTCAAATGATAATATGGAACCAGAATATAGAGGGCTTCAGATGCCAGACTGAGGGGCTTACTCTTAAAGGGTCTGATCCTGCCAGGCACCCTCACTCCAGAGGTGAGTTAGGTCCGATGAGGCTCCGATGATAAAGTGCACTGGGGCTGATGTCTTAGAATTAGGACAGTCCACGTCTTCCAGACTCCCTGGGAGTCTGCTGAGGCAGTATACCTCTCCTTCCCCATTTTCTGGATTTTTCTTCCCACTCAGAAACTCACCCTTTCTCTCTGTTTACTTGTCAGTTGGCCCACGTTCTCTTTTCTTCTTTATCTTCCCTTGTTCCCATGGCCACTTTCTGCTCCTCTGATGAGACGGAAGCTCTCTGTTAAAGCTCCTGGAACAAATAATGTTTCCTTCCCACTTCGGTCTGCACTGTCCGCTTGAACTTCTGAAAGTCAACTCATCCAAAATCCCTAGGGAAGCTCTGGTTTAAGAAGGTATCCTGAGAAAATATAAACGTTTTTTCAAGAAAAAGGAATAAACCCATAGAGGTGTGAAAACTGGGAAGGGGCTATCACAGCACACTTCTGGAAAGATGGAAAGAGGATGGGGGGTGCTGACAGATCAAGCAGAGCAGGGGGCTGCAGACCTCCATTGGCTTAGAAAGGGCTTTAGGGCCAAAGGAGCCGGGAGTGCCAAGCAGAGCCCTGGAGAAGCTCTGGGCTTGGAGTTGGTAGTGAAGGGGGGCAGGGAGGAGAACGAGAACTGAAAACAGTCAGAAGGGGAAACAGTACGTCTGTTTACCTTGTAATGTTGCCAACTGACTCCACACACTCTTCTCCCAGCTCCCCCTTCTCGTCCCAGATTCCCAAGAACGCAGGCAGTGCACGGCCAGGCATTTAACCTGCAGCCAAAAAGAAAGCTCCAAGGGAGTTTGATCAGCTCTTTGGGAGAAAACTGTGACTGCTCTAGGGGTTTAGAGTCCATCCATTCTATTTGGGTCCCTCAGCCTGAAGGCCAGCATCTGCTCACTCACGCACAATGAAGGGCAAAACAAAGGCCCAGATCTGACCACGTGTACAGAGCTCCCTCTAAGTCCTCCTTCCCTGGAAAGAGACCTGCATATTCAGCCGCAGACAGCACCCACCCTAGCCTCCTAGAAAACACAATGCAACTCTTCATTTAAACTCAAGGCTCACCAGACACTGGAGGAAACCGACAATACAAGCGATTAAGACAGACCTACAGACACCCACACATAAATGCACGTATATACGCAGCAGCTGTCTCCAGTGGAAATAAGGACAAGAACATTTTGAAAGTCTTAATTAATATTCTTAAAGAAAATAAAATGAGATCCTAAAATAAGAATGAGATGCTATTTTAAAAAATTAAAAGAACTATTGGAGAATTGTAAAGAGCTCTTTGAAATGTGAGATTGTATCATTGATAACACACAAAATTCAATGAGAGGACTGGAAGGTAAAGTCAAGGAAATTGCTTAAGATGAAACTGTATGTATGTCTGTATATAAAATACATATATATATATATATATATATATATATATATATATATTTTACACATGGAGGGTTGATCTAGGTTGTGCAGCGTGTTACCAATGGGAATTAAAGAAAGAACTTGCAGAAACAGAACTGGAGACAGCTGTGTCCAGATTGGACGGGCTCAGTCAGCGCTGAACAGAGTGGATTTAAGTGGACTTATACAAAGATTTCAGAAGTCCAGGGTCAAGAGAAAAAAAAAATCAGAGTTTCCTCGTCGGGTGACAGACTGAGGAGGCAGTGCAGTTGACCCAGGGAAGGAACGAAATTCAGGAGGACAGCAGGCCTCTCGTCAGTGATGTCAGATATAAGAGGTCAAGGAAACCGTTCCTTCAAAGTCCTGAGGGAAGATGATCTCAACACTGGTTCTGTACCAAATTATCATTCAAGATATTTTCAAAGAGTTACAAATTTTACTTCTTATGCACCCTATTTGAATAAGTTACTTAAGGACATACTACAGCAAAGCAGGGATGAAAAACAAGAAAAATGTCCTGGGATTGAAAAATTCAAGAGTCAAAAAAAGAAGTCCTAGAATTTAAGCTGTCAGCAGACCTGGAAAGCAATCAGTCCAAATCAAGGCAGGAAGTCCATGGTCTCTAAGAAAAAAGACCTCAAAAATAGACATATTCAAAGGAAGAATAGATAAATAAGAAGAAATTTCTTATGTGTTTTATTGAACTTCTCAGTTATGGGAACTAAGGCATATGTCTTTTTTCTTTGTTAAAAGAAAAAAGAAAGCAATTAAAAACACCAAGAGAAAAAAGTCATGGTCCAAATTTTTTCTAAATAGTAAATGTGACCCTGATATTGATCAATATATGGATTACAAGGAGAGAGCATCTATTTGACCTTCGATTGATGCTTAGAACACCCTCTGCCAGTTCATGACACAAGCCCACAGAGAGCATGATGGATTCCAGGCAACTGCTTTCTTCTGTAGTGAAAAATGTCTACAATCAAAAAAAAAAAATGTAAGCCACTATTGGTCTTCAACTCGTAGAATCATGGAAAATATAGAAGGTCTAAATATAAGTACAGAACAGAATGTAAATATTAACAGACATGGCAATGTAAAAGTGTAATGCGTCTTGCAGAAGATGGGAGGAGGAAAAGAGAAGAAAAGATAAAAGGAACTGTCAAAAATTAATGGATTCGTAACAGTCAGAGTAGAAATAACCCACTCATCTGTTGATAAATGGATAAACAAAATGTGGTATACCTATGCAGTGGAATTTTATTCAGCTGTAAAGAAGAATGAAGTCCTGGTACATGCTAAGCCTTGAAAGCATTGTAAGTAAAAGAGGTCATTCACAAAATAGCACATATTCTTTGAATCTGTTCTTCTGAAATGCCTAGAATAGTCAAATTTATAGAGGCAGAATGTATATTGGGGGTTGCATTGGACTGAGGGAAAGGTGGGGGTGGGGACAGACTACTAATGGGTACGGCTTTTCCTTTTGGGGTGATGAAAATGTTCTAAAATTGGATAGTGGTGATGGCTGTACAATCCTGTGAATATGCTAAAAGTGACTGGAAAAGGTGAATTTTAATGGTATGTGCATTATATCCCAATACGACAGCTGCTGAAGTGAATAAAAAGAAGTTGATGAAACTAGAAAGCAATTTTAAGTCTTTCTAGTATCAGGGAATCAGTCACTAGTTGTTCATGAAAAAAAAAAAAAACCAAGGAATATAATACAATGTCCATTCAGTGGCCAGAGTACCATCCTTCGCCACCACCTCTCCTAGGCCCCACCCTACCTCTACCTCCTCCTCCTCCCTCATTTCTTTGTTAGTGCAGTGCCCTCAGGCCAGTTTCATGCTTAAAATCTTCCAAATGCTTTCTGTTGTACTTAGAATAAAATTTCAAGAATCCGTTTCTGCATATCTGCGGCCTGCTTACCTCCCTTGCCCTGCTCCCCACTCCCTCTTCCTTTTCTGCTCTTTGAGCCCTCCAAGCCTGCTGAGCTTAGGGCTTCTGCACTCACTGTCACTCCACCAGCAATACTCAACCACCGCTCTTCACATTCCTGGCTCTTTTCCATTCGTGTAGTAGCTTAGCTGTCAGCTCCTCAGAGACCCTTCCCGACCACTTTCCTCATTTTTATCTGGCTCCTGCATTAAGTCCCTGCAAGTTGAAAACAAGAGCCAGGACGGAGAATCCCTTTTGGGTGATTGGGTTCTGAATCAGAGGAACAGCAACAGCTTGGGATAGAGAAGAGAAAAATACCGGTGCTGTGGAAAACAAAGCTCAGTATCTCAATGAATGATCCTTCCGCAGTGGAAGCCAATCACCTTGCTCCCCAAACGCCATTTCTCTGCTACCTTTATATCGAGCTTAGTGGTACCACTCTCCTCCTAATTCCCTGGTTACACAATTCTAGAATTCTTTTTAACACTCAGTTCACATAAGTTTTTAAAAAAAAGGAATCATTTTTAATGCTTTTTTAAAATGTAGAATAAATGAAATGTATAGGGAAAAACTTTCTATTGTCCCACTGCCCTGCCAGCATTTCAGTACATTTCTTCTTCAGATCACTTTCCTTAGCTATTAAGGGTCTTATAGTATAAAATTTGAAGAAACTTGACCTACAGTGGAGTTCAAATGTTTTAGCTCATGACATACAAGACTTTTCCTAATCCAGCCTTTCCAGCCATCCTTTATATTTTCAGCAAATATTTCTTTAGCCCTTGATTTGTATCAGATTCTCTGCTCAATACTAGAAACAGAGAAATAAAAGCCCAATTCTGCCTGCCTTCAAGGGGCTGATCATCTAATAGGCAGACAGAAGAGCAACCATTGCAATACTGATATGTGCTAGGAGGTAGGATGTCGATATGGGGCACCTACCCCGGACTAAGGATGTCTGGGAGCCAGCCGAAAGAAGGCAGGAGGAAGGACGCCTTCTGAACAGAAGGTGCAGCATGCTGAAAGGCACAGACCCGGGTAGGAGTGTCACAGTGGAGCGCCAAGCAATTGTCTGATGTGCACGTTGTTGGGGTGAGTGAGGAAACTGGAAGCTGGTTTGAGCCAGACTGATAAGGGCCCTTGTAAACCATGTAAGGACGGGGGATTTCATCACCAAAACCATGGAGAACCGCTGAAGGGACAGAGCGATGGCAGTGACATGATCAGATTTCCATTCCAGTAAGCGTACTGTGGTGTGGAAGGAGAGCCTGGAGGCAGACTAGCACAAGAGGATGATACCTTCATTATGACCATTGTCCCCGAGGAACTCCTCGACTCCAGCCTCATCAAACCATCTGACCAACCACGTTGTGCTCTGCCACACCACAAGCCTTTGTGCTGTTACCTCTGCCTGGAACATCCTTTCTGTTCATCTTCTTGGCAAACTCTTACTTATCCCTGAGGCCTTTGTAAAGCCTCTGTAAAGCCTTTCTTGTTCCCTTTATCTGTACAAAATTGTTTCTTCCTATCTGTTCCCATAGCCCTTAGTAAGTACTATTAAGCTATAGCCATTATCACCTTATGTGATGCTGATTTGTCAACGTGACTCGCTTCTCCATCAGACTGAGATCACGGAGGGCTGGAGAGTCATCTCCGAATCTCCCTCTCCAGGCACACTCTTCCAGCACTTAGTTGGTGGCTAATAATTAAAGGACTGACTGACAAATAAGTGAGTAAATGAAACAAGCTGCCCCTCCATTGAGGACCCCATCGCATCTCGGGGGGAATAACCCTTCCTGTGTAGATCTCAGGACTCACTTCAGACACTAGGCTGGCTCATGAAAGAGTGGATGGGATGTGGGTGAGTGACAGGCCAGACCCTCTGGCTGAAGTTCGAGTCTCCCCAGGTGGTGCAGCTGGAGGAGCTCCTGGCCGTGCGGCACTCCGTGTTCGTGGTGGGCAGCGCAGGGACTGGCAAGTCACAGGTGCTGAGGTCCTTGCACAAGACCTACCAGATCATGAAACGGCGCCCCGTCTGGACAGACCTCAACCCCAAAGCGGTCACCAACGATGAACTCTTTGGCATCATCAGTCCGGCCACACGAGAATGGAAGGATGGTAAGAGCGGAGTACCCCTGGGAGAAAGCCCCTCGGTATTCTCAGAGCCCCTTGAGCAGACGTGAAAGCGGGGTTGAATGCAAAGGAGGGAGCATGGGGCTGATCTGTTTGGGTGGGAGAAGGAGGTGAAAGGAATCAAAGAAAGGAAACAAATTTTGGCTTGGAGGGGGACCTCAGCCCTTGGGAGAGGCTCTTTCCTTGGGGACTCTTCAGCTGCCTCTCGAGAGAGGGCACCTTACAGAGGGTAAAGCAGCACAGGCACTCTCAGCTGTAGTTTCACGATGCTGGGTCACAAGTCGTGGAGTCCTTACGCTGCCTGGCAGAGGCTGGGGTAGGAACGCCCACGGCTCCTTCCCAAAGGAGCCATGCAGTCAGGCATCCCACAGAGGGCACCTCTCCTGTCGGCACTGCTGCAGGAGAAATGGGGAAGCTGCTCCAGCAGCCATGCCTGAGTGAAGACGCCACTCATCGTCATTTGTCTCAGGAGCATCCTAGAACCGTGGTCCCTTCTACAGCAATTCACATGGTCCCAACCCCATATTCACCCAGTGCTGACCTCAGCATCACCTTTGAGGAATTAAAATCACTGGTAGATGTTGGAAGGGCTCTCCTGTCAACTGGGAGAGAGCAGAGAAAAAAATGGAGAAAACCCTGTGAGCTGATAGGACCTCTCTCTGAAACCAGTGTGGCTTGTGGAAGAATGAATCTCAGCTCCCTCCTAAATGCCGGACTACACCAGGGTCAGACTGCCTGGAGTCCTCTAATTTAGGGCCTCCCATCCGAGGCCTAGAACAATGGGATTCAGTGAGCAGCTTCTCTAATTTTTATTTCACAGTTTATGAGGCTTAGCGTCTTCTCCTTCTTATAAGTCTTAGTCAGTGGCTCTTTCGTAATTTTATTCTTCCTTAATATGTTCTTGTCAGTTTGTAAGAATTTTTTACACATCAAAGACATTAACCCTGTATCTGTTACACATACCAGTAATGGTTTTTCGCTGTCTACCACTTGTGTACAGACACTTCACGGTAAATTTACCATGCATACTGTTTAAAGAGGAAATTACGCCTGTCTAGTCTTTTTAGCATCTGGGATCCCTGTGTAGTTTATAACTCATTCTAATTTTAAGCTATAGATGTAGTGTCATAAATTTGGTCCTAAAGATTCTTTTTATGTTAACGTTTTTTATCCATCTGGAATTTATTTTGGGGCTTAGTGTGAGGTAAAGTAGAGAATCAACTTTATTTCCTTCCAGATGGATAATTGGATGTGACAGCACCATTTATTAAGTAAACCATCCTTTCCCTGCGAACTTAAATTCCGGCTTGTTATACATGCAGTGGTCCCTTGGTATCCAGTGGGGATTGGTTCCAGAAACTCCTGTGGATACCAAAATCCACGGATGCTCAAAACCTCATATAAACTGCAGTAGTGTCTGCATTATCCTGTGCACATCTTCCCCCAGTATACTTACCTAATACAGTGCAAGTGCTGTGTAAATAGTTGGCAGTGTGCAGCAAGTTCAAATTTTGTTTTTTGGAAGTTTCTAGAATTCTTTTTTTCCAAATATTTTTTGATCCATGATTGGCTGAATCCATGGATGCAGAACCTGCAGATATAGAGGGCCAACTGCACTGAAATCTGATTCTGGGTTTTCTATTCAGTTCCACTCACCTATTTATCTGATCCTATACTGATGTTGTTCTATCTGGGTTATAATCATTTTATAATATTTTCATGTCTGATGAGGTAAATCTCTCCTCAATATTTTCTGTAATTTCTTGGCTAGCCTCAGGCACTTCCTTATTCTGTGTTAAATTTAAGCTCACGTAATATAATTCAAACTTTAAATGGCGGAATTTTAATTGAAGTTTTTTTGAATATATACGTTAAATATGGAGAAATTAACAAAGATTTAATTTATAATAATCCTAAATGTGTATTCACTAAACAAGAAAATTTCTAAGTAAATAGAGTATACTTGGGACGGAGTATAAACTTTTAAAACACATTTCGGGGAACTTGATAAAAGTAGAAATATAGTGGGTTATATTAATATATCTTCTCCAAAATAAAATTCAGTGACAGAAAAATAAGTATAAACATATGAGAATTGGGAAATGCATCATCAAACTCTCTGTAGCACACAGTTATAGAACTTTACGTCTTAGAAGATATTCCTTTCTTGGTGGGTTCATGGAACATTTCCAAAAATTTAAAGTTTAGTTGGGCACAGAAGAAACTGTAATGAAGTTAAAAGTATCAGTTTCCAGGCCACATTGATAATAATGTGATAGAAGTAGAAACAAATAGCAAGAAAGTGACCAAAAATAATTCTACTATTTGCAATCAAGAAATGCCCTGTCCCTGGATTAAAGAGAAAATTAAATTGCAACCCCTCTTGGAAACAATATAAGAAGAACACTTTATACAAAAACCTCTGGGACACATGTAAAGCCAGTAAGGAAAAAGTCTAAATTCTCCTTATTACAGAAGGTAGGCTAGAAATATAGGAAGTCAGTACCCATCCTAAGAAATTATCCAAAGAGTAATACACTAAGCCTAAAGAAAACTGGGAAGAAACTAAAAACATAAAAGCTGAAATTAGTCAGAAGAAAACAAATACATATGTGTGTGTGTGTGTGTGTGTATATATCCTTCCTATATATATCATAGGAAGGATAAGTAAATACAAATATTTTTTCTTTGTAAAGACCAGTAAGTCCATTGTAAGCATTTAATGGAGAAAAAAAGAGTAGAAGTATAAAAGATTAGGAATCAGAAAGACGATATAACGGTAGATATAGGCAAGATTAAAATAGAAGAGACATAATTAGATGACACATGTTTGAAAAATTAAAAGAAATAGATGATTCCTTAGAAAAATATAATATGAGCAAAATTTACTCAATAAGAAGTAGAAAAGGAATAAAGAAAAGGAAAATTTTGAAATAGTGGAACAAAAAAAGATAATTCTGAAATCATAAAAAGGACATATTTCAGTTCATTTTATAAAGCCAAATAATCTTGATATCAACCTTTGTGCAGAACCAAAAACAATAGCTCAATTTCACTTATTAATATAGATTCAGAAATTCTGAATTCATATCAGTAAATAAAATCCAGTATTATCTCACTCAAAAGAATAGTAAATTCTGACCAAGTAACATCTCTTCTAAGAACATACAGATAGATGGATTACTTTTAAAAATGGTAACAAAAAGCACTGACAAATTAAAGGATAAAATAATTTGGTCAATAAATAGATGTTAAAGACTCAGTAGCTGTTCCTGATTTTTCGAATTCTAAGTAAAATAGGAATAAATGGAAATCCCTTAAATATAATAAATACTCTTTACCTAAAGCCAAAAGGAAAAAGAGAGCATTCTGAATAATGAGAAAGTAAAGTCGTTTCCATTAAAATCAGAAATAAGCCAAAGAGATCTGTTACCAACGTTATTATTCAGCTTTGCTTGGTGGGATTCCGGAGAATGCAGTAAGACAAGAAAATGGAATACATGGTATAAATTGGACGAAAGGAGAAAATTATTATTTTCCTTATTATACAACCTTATACCTAGAAAACTCAAGAAACACTATTGAAAAATCACTAGATTAAGTTAACTACTGTGTTAAAGGTAACTAAGTATAAAGTAAAATACACAAAATTTGAAAGCTTTTGTCTATACTAGCAGTAGCAAACTAAAACGGGAAATACAGGGAAAAAATTCCATTCACCATAACAATAAAAACTGGAATGTTTAGGGATACATTTAAGCCAAAGAGAAACATTGAAAATGTTGTAAAATTTTATTAAGTAACATAAAACAATATTTGAATAAATGAAAAGACATACAATATTATTGTTTGGGAAAGCTTAGTATTATAAAAATCAATTCTATCCAAATTAAGATGCAAATTTCATGTGATGCCAATCACAATCACATTGGGCCTTCTCTCAAAGCCTGTGTTTGGCAGGATTTTCCCAGGCTGCAGTTTCAGAGGATAAAAACCTTACCTAAAAAGGTTTTATGTAATTCCATCATGTCACAGTTGCCTGTTGAAATGATTCACTGGGTCCCTTGTCACTTACAAAGCTGGTAGTACCATGTTTTCTTCTTGTTTCGTGTTGCTGCTATTCTTATGAAAAGTCAGACGGGAGCCCAGAGTGGTGCCTTGGGCAGGGTCAGATTTTTGGCAGAGTAAGATACAGAGCCAGTTCTGACCTGCCTTTCCTATTTCCACCTCCTTCTAAGTGTTGTTGCTTATGGGGAAAGGCTGTGTTCAGAGGAAGAAGATTGATGGCAACCTGGAGAATAAGATATCCGTGGTTCCTTTTAGGCTTGTTCTCTTCCATCATGCGGGAGCTTGCCAACATCACCCATGACGGGCCCAAGTGGATCTTACTGGATGGCGACATTGATCCAATGTGGATTGAGTCTCTGAACACCGTCATGGATGACAACAAGGTACCAAGGGGGCAGAAAGCCCCACTTCATCCCTAACCATCAGTGAAACCAGTCCCCCGGGCTCATTCCATACAAGGGCTGGCCCCGAGCAAGGAATTTCTACTGATATCTTTATCTTTCAATTTTTTCCAGCTTTATTGAGATATAATTGACGTATAACATTGTGTAAGTTTAAGGTGTATAATGTGATGATTTGAAATACTTAATATTGCAAAATGATTACTACAATATGGTCAGTTAACACCTCTGTCACCTGACATGATGTGTGTGTGTGTGTGTGTGTGTGTGTGTGTGTGATATAGCATTTTCTGTATCCATTCATCCATCAGCAGACACTTAGGTTGCTTCTGCGTCCTGGCTATTGTAAACAGCTCTCGAGTGAGTGTCATTGCAGCTATCTCTTCAAAATCCTGCTGTCCTCACTTTCCAGTATCGTTAATCAGCATCTCAGAACTGATTCATCCCACAGGGCAGCTTTCACTTTCTTCAGTGGTGCTGCCATTGCTCACACGTTCTTAGCATTGTTGTAATTCCCTTCAGAATCTTCTGCACATAAATTAATATTTAAAGCTGAAAAGACTCTTAAATAATTTTTTCTAATCTCAAAAAAATTTTCCTTTGTTTATAAATAAGGAAACAGGATCAGAAACATTCTGGGCCTGTCATACATCCTCAGTGGTGACCCATCTTTATCCATGGAGAGTACATTTTATTTTTCATAAACAGTGAAAACGAACTGAATGCCAGTAAAGTGGCTGTTAAGCTGGGAGCTGTATCTAAACTTGTTCGGAAAGCACATCTAGGTTAGAGATGTTACAGTGGTTTCAGCATTTACAGAACCGTTAGAGCAAGCGGGTGCTCGTCCAGAGGGACTACTTTGAAAGAAACAGTCACTGCATGGAACCTGAGCTCTTCTCCTTCAATCGCCTTGTCTTTGCAGTATGGTCTAGCGCATTCACGTCATTGGCATCAACTTGAACTTTTTAGGTAACTTATTTCCTAATTCAGAACACACACCAGGATGGAGGTAAAGGGGCTACAGGAGAGAGAAGATTGTTGTAGAAAATCTAGAAAATACTCATAATCGCCAAGAGCAGAGTAGGCATCATAATCCCCACCGGTGTAATCAGCCAACCTCCCCCCCCGGAGCACCCTAACTGCCTGCTGCCCCGTCCCTCCCCGTCGTCTCCAGGTGCTGACGCTGGCAAGCAATGAGAGGATCCCCCTGAACCCCACAATGAGGCTCCTCTTTGAGATCAGCCACCTGCGCACGGCCACGCCGGCCACGGTCTCCAGAGCAGGTATGGCCCACGGCAGGAAGGAAGTGCAGAGCCGCTCACCGGAGAACGGGCGCCCCTCGTAAGACACACGGCGCTGCTGGCTCTGAAGGAAGCTCCGAACAGGGGTCAGACCTCGTCATCCCATCTCTGGCCTAATTCTCAGCCCTCTTACCATCCACAAGGGTGGGCCAGTGCTCTATCGTCGGGACCCTGAGATCTTAATTCAGAAATGTTACGCTATCAGGAAGGGGAATGGCCTCGAGCTGGACAAGTGCCCTCTGCACACAAGTGCCTCAAATTAGGCTGCTTCTAGGCTGGTTCTAACCTCCAGGTTAATGCAGGTGACCAGGCGTCACGACTTCTCACTACATCCTGGGGGAAGATAACAACTTTATGTCCTGACTTTTCCAGTTAGGACAGGGCCATATCCTTTGGGGGGATACCATTCAATCTGCACTGTTTGACATTGTGACAAGTGTTACATACCACTCAATCTTTACTCCTGAGCCTAGATGTGGCCTCAGGATCCTTCTCAACACTGCTTTCCATCAGCTGTTATCAGTCAATCAGAGTTGATCCCAACAACAAAACCCTTTGCCCGCTCAGACCTCGGCCAGTTCTCTGTTCAAGCCCAGTCTTCCATCCATTTTCTAAACAGAGAAAGAAACTCTCCGGGGTGAAGAATATGCTGAGATCTACGGACACATAACTGCACAGTGTTCTCTATGCTCCAGGGATCCTGTACATCAACCCGGCAGACCTGGGGTGGAGCCCTCCAGTGAGCAGCTGGATTGACAGGAGGGAGGTCCAGACAGAGCGAGCCAACCTAACCATTCTGTTTGACAAGTATCTTCCAACCTGTTTAGACACACTCAGAACCAGGTAAGCCAGGCAGTAAGGAAGGTGACAAGTTAAAGCAGCACTAAAGAGCCTGTTGGCTCACACCTGATGTCCCGCGGATGCACTGTCCTGTCCCGAAAGTCAGATGATGTCCCTAGAGTGTTCCCCTCTAGGCGTGGCAGATGGCAGAGGGGGACACACCTTGGATTGGCCCTAGGATGCCTGTTGTCAGTTTAGGCAAGAAGCGAGGTGAGTGAGGAGGAGGGAGATTTAAAGTGTGTTTTGTGAGCACCACGTGGGTGTTTCCAGAGGAGGCTGTAGGCTGTGATATCAGACAACAGTCCTGAGATCCTCCAGTTGGCAGGGCACACAGCTGGCCTCCTACACATGTTACACAGGCCAGATCGACACCTGCCAGTGGCACGTGGGACCCACCTCCTGTTCCCGGCTGTGTATGTTCACAGCCCCGATGATGCAGGATTGGGTATAATGCATCGTTTGACCAGCCCCACCCCTCTGGACATTGGGAGTTCACTTTTCCTCCTAGAGGTTTGTAAAAGTAAAAGCAGCAATCTCTGACCACTTACCACATACACAAAATATTAATTGCCCTTAATGAAAAGGAACCTATTATAGCAAGAATATTGTATGTATGTGTCTGCAGAGAGATTCCAGCATTTGGAACCTCCTTTTGTTTTGTGTTGTCTTTTTTTGCCATTTGATGCATCATTCTATGAATCAGGTACCTAGCCGTTGTTCAGCCCAGTTGCACCATCAGAATCTGGTGCTGTGAATGCAGCATGACTCAGAGATCCATCGTTCCTGAAAGCTCAGCAAGTCAGGGTCAGGATTATGTTTCCTGGAAATTAAGTCCATCACTCAGAATGGTCCCTGACTCCTTACTCACTGGCCTGTGAGGCACAGGATGGAGAATCTCTCACAAGCCTGGAGCAGAGGTGAAGGAAGAGCTGCCACTGCAGGAGGGTCTGAGGCTCTTTGTTTCATGTGCCCTCTCTCGCCCTAGCAAAGTCCACCTCTGCTAAGAATGAATTTTATAGAACTAAAAACTGAGTTGCAGGTAGGTAGTCGACCTGTGGTATGTTTTCAGATACTTAATTACACATTTATTAATTTTGATTTTGTAATTTTTATCATTGGGGTTAATATTATTTTTCCAAACTTCATCGTTTTCATAAGCCCTTAAAGAACCTTTAGCCCTTGGGGCCTGTGGGCTCTGGGGCCTTGGGATCTAATGAGATAAAGCAGCCGGGGCAGCAGGGAGAGTCTGGAAGCGGGCAGTAGTGGTTAGGGTCTCAGAAGGGCTGGGGCTGCAGAGCGTTAATACACCAGGGGAAGGCTGTAGGGAAACAGCACCCCTGTTCTTTATGGTTTCCTGAGACACCTGTCCAGTAAATCCTTTGACTAAGAAATGAGGCCATTTGCCATTCTAGGCATTTATAACAGCAGATGCCAAACTTCCATCTGTTTGTGAGAGTGTGTGACTGTGTGTGTGTGTGTGTGTGTGTGTACACGCGTGCTTGTGCGCATGCTAGTATGTGAAACAAGCTTTGAAGACTCCAACTGCATCAAGTCCGTCCAGAGACAACTCCCACCTCCCCCGCCATTTCCCCCAGTCTCTGTGGCTATAAGGGAAAAACCCAGAGCTGTGGTTTAGGGGGCCCGCTCTGGGTGTTCCTTCATGTAATTCTCAAGGGATTTTCCCAGGGGGCCAACCATCCTGTAGCTGCGGGGCCAAGGACCCCAGCCACTTAGTAACAAGGCATTCGCTGCAAAGTCTCGCTTCTGTTTTATTCGTCTCCATGTTGTGACACCAGCTTCATGTGGCCCTGTTATGTCAAAGTGACGCCAACACAGTAGTTTTTATATTGAACAAGCAGACCTCATAAGGGATGATTATAACAACATTACTTTGTTTCCGACTGCTCCTTCAGAACCATGTTATGTGGCTGGTTCCCCTTCTGCCCTGGGATGAAGTCTAGGTCAGCATCTGTGACTTTTCCAGTCCTTCTTCAGTCATAAGAAGGCTTCCAGTCACTTCTGCTCACACAGTCTCACACACATGCACACGTGTACGCATGTGAAAAGTTTTAAAAGACACAGTGAAAAATTTAAAAAAAAACAAACTCTTTGCCTCTGCCCACCCAGCCTTGACCTCTCTCCTCACTCCACGAGTTGCCCCCTCGCCAGCTGTAGCTTCTGACCCCTCGGGGTGGAAGGGGGTTCAGAAGAGACTGAGGGCAGGAAAGGCCTTAATACTGGACCTGGCATGGCCTCATTACTCAACTGTGGCAGATTTGGAAATCTCTCTCTTTGGAAGCTTTTGTGGATCCCTCAGACCCCTCCCATCACTGGAGATCCCCTACATGCCTCTCCTTGAAGCAAGGAAATGCCTCTCCGTCCACCAGTCATGTACAGCTGCTCACACGAACCCCTCCAGGACAACCCGTTTGCCAGCATCTAAGACAACCCCACACGCTCATAGCTCACACCTGGACTCCAGGACATACAGGCTGCTCCAGCAAGCACCCTCTTCCCTCCACTGTGAGCTTAGCAAGTCTGCTCCCAGGCACGGGTCCTATGGGAGCCCCTTTCTGTGGCTCTCCGTTCAGGATGAGCACCTGCCTTCCCCGTGGGAGCGGGGCACTCATTGCACACCTAGAGCCCTCCCTGAGGTCCCGTGTGCTAATTTCTAGCCCCTCCAGTATCTACCACTTTGATCCTACAAACCCTTGAGAGGACCAGAAGCCATGCTGCAAAACCCTTTGCAAGTCTGTCCCCAGGCTGTCTGGAATCTCAGTCTGGAACTGGAAGCATAGTCGGCCTGTATTATGTCGGGGCCTCATCCCACACTGAGCCTGAGAGAGTTCCATTTTGACATTGTCACAAATACGTCTTGATGCAATGAAGGAAAGTCTACCAAGTACTCAGTGTCCTCATTACTCACGGACGTAACGCCTGGACTGTCAGACCAGTTTATAGCATTGTTGTAAGGACTGCAGCCAGATTCAAAACCAGAGCAGCACAAAACACTGAAGAGAACGGAACGCCGTGGAACTCCGAGGCCCAGTGCTGGTAAATGACTTTTAAGGTGTCCTTTGATGGAGTTGTTTGTCTTATAATGGTGGCCCCTGCCTCTGTGCAGCATGTGAGCCCTTCCTCCCCCGGGAGGTGGTGACGTGGGCAGGAGGGGTTGAGTGTGTGGGTGCGTGGTGTGCTGTGTGCATGCATGGTGGGATCAGAGTGCCCGGATGTGTGCATCTGTGTGTGCACATGGGCACATGCTCCTGCTCCCTTGGGCGTAGGTGCACCTTTGTGTATCTCTTGATATCTGCCTTTCAATCGAGACGTCTAAACCAAGATTAAAAGTACAAAAGCTGGGCCAAGACAAAGTCACAGAGGCATATTTTTGGAAGAGGAACTCCATCAAGTAAATCATGATTGTATAAAATAACCACCTGTCCTGGACCACTCTGGCCCCGGAGAAAACATTTTCAATGTGTTTTAATTGAGGACAACCCTTGGAGCTGAAGGAATCACACCCACCTTGACTCTTTAGGTTATTTGCCAGTCGAGGAGACTGTGAAGAGTGACACTGTGACAGATGCACTCATTTCGTGGCAGCTGCCTAGTTCCCCAAGGACTGGGGGGTCCTCACGGTTCAGAGAAGGGAGGAGGAGTGGGCAGGGCAGCAGAAGAAAGGAAGAGGAGACAGGGAAGCATCTCAGGAGTGCTCCGGGCCCTTCCTTCTTTGCAAAGGGAGCTGACCCAAAACAGCTGATGAGAATAAAGGCTTAAGTAGAACCATGGGTCTCTATAATACCAAAGGTTTTGCTGCTGCAAAACAGCACGGACTTGACAAATCATGAGTCCGCGGAAACCAGCAGGGTTCCACAGCTGTCCAACAGCGCCTCTAGGATGGAAAAATCCAAAGTCGTAGAGCATGGCTGGGTCTCTCTTTGCAGGTTCAAGAAGGTAATCCCAATCCCGGAGCGGAGCACGGTTCAGACGCTGTGCCACCTTCTGGAGTGCCTGCTGACCGAGGAGGCCGTCCCTGCAGACTGCCCCCGGGAGACCTATGAGCTTTATTTTGTGTTTGCTGCCATCTGGGCCTTTGGCGGAGCAATGGTCCAAGATCAGGTAAGAGGACTTGCTGAGGCTAACACCTACTTTAACTGGCAAAGATTTGGCAGACAAGACAGCCAAACGTCAGAATTAACCCAGCAACACCACACTAGTTAGTTATCTATCCATTGCTCTGCTAAAGACATCAGTCCCCATAGAAGGGCTTCATGTAGCGAGGGAGATGAGATTGAGACTATGTTTTGAGCTGTTGCTTTTTGAGTTAGTGAGCATATCCCTAATTTCTTGGACAGCTGAGTTTGAAACACTGGAAGTACAAGGGCCTTACTTTGCATGGGGAGATGTGTTGCATGGGTGGGGTGATGCTGTGCTATAGAAGCTTGAGGGGGAGCAATCCCTTTAGCCTTCTCAGAACCTTCCAGAACCTTCCACTCTCTGCCAACCGTCACCCCTTCATACCCCTGAAATGCAGGGCTGTCAGTAGAAGGTTATGCCAAAGGTTAGTTGACACCTAGGGTAGGAAACCGAAGTATTATTTATCACATAGTGTTGACTGCTGTAGCTTCATGCTGTTTGGGAGTGTCTTGGCGTCCTATCTGCTAACCCTTCCTTTATTTCCAGCTGTTTTCTTTAGTTGGTTTCCTCCCCAGAAAAGGTATGTTACCCAGAAAAAACATATTTGAGGTTATGGAGACAGTATTTTACAACTGATCCTGGCTGTCAAGCAGTACCATAGAGAGGCTCAGAACAGGGACCCTGGACTTGAATTGTAACTCTGCCACTTATTGTCTGGGGACCCTGGACAAGTGATTTAACATCTCTCTGTCTTACTCTCCCCATGTTAACAAAGGAGGTGAGAGTGATGATAGAGGTACCCAGTTCCTAGGATGACTGTAAGGAGTAAATGAATTGCCTGCATGAGTATGTGTGGAGCAACTTCGAACAGGGCTGGGATCACACCAGGCTGCAGTTGTTGGAGGGTTATAATTTACTCTTTCTGGTCTGGGTTGGCCATGGACTCTTGGTAAAAAGTTTCAGCCCTCTCCAAGGCAAACTGTGTTCTAAAAGTCCAAAACAAAGGTGAACTGGAAGAAGTAATGATGAGTTTATTTTCCATTTTCACAGGCACTGGTTGTAACATGCAGCCTGGCTCCCATCACCCCCTGCGCATTCTCTGGTGTTCACGGTTCAGAAGGCAGCTCTCACGAGCTCCTGGAACGTCTGCCTTTCTCCTCCTCCCTCTCCAGAGCTAGATGCTGGTGGGAAGGGGGACCTCCGAGGGCAGGAGGGTGCCTGCATTGGGGTCTGACATCTGAGAATTCTAGGCAGTCCGCTCTGCAGCCTTTGGAGCCTCTCCATGCTTCTTTCAGAGCTTTCCATCTCCCCTTTGAGGCAAGGAGCCAGCGAGTCCGGCTGGATGGATGAGACCTCCCTGAGTGTGCAGGCATCCAGAACGTGGGGGTTGTCACTTTCCATCAAATGTAACCCTAACCTTTCGGCTGCTGAAATGTCAGACAGCAATCACCGCTGGGCTTCTGTCTCACGCTGGTGCCGAGCAAGCAGTGGGGTATCGGGATAAAGATACTTGGTCAATTTTTCTGTCTCTGTGTAGAAAATTTAAATCCACTCAACTCCTTTTAAAAGCCCAGGAGAAAACATCCCTCCAGGTGTCCTGGGCTCTGGAGCACTTGGAGCTGTGGGCAGCCCTGCGGGCGCAGAGGGAGAGGGCACAGGAGAAAGCTTTTAGCGGCAGGGAGTGTCCAAGACCCCGCACAGCCTGCAGTCAAGCCAAACACCAAAAATAGTGCTGTAAACCGAAATGTACAACGTTGGCCAAAATATTGGCATCAGGAACATCAATTGTGCTTACATTTAAAAAGCTGTTATTAAAGCAAAGTAGAATATAATACAAAATGCAGCCCATACCTGGGTAGAAGTTCCAATAAAAAAGGGGGGGGGGGGCAAGGTGGATCCTGGCCAGATACTTTGCAGCGATCACATGAAATTATCTCTCAGGAGCAAATGATCTGTCGGAGAGCACCCGACTAGGAGACTGACACTGTGGGTTCAATTCCTAGTTCTGCCAAATGCTTCCAGAGGTGGAACCTTTGAGCTTTTCTATTTTCCTACATAAAATAGGAATAATTTTCAGTAGCCAGGATAACCTAGAGCATTGTGAAGATCCAACGAGGTGATACCGCATTCCAAACTCTGTACCAAACTGCAGGCCAGTACAGTCTGAGTGCTGGCAAGTTCAAAGGGTAGGAAGGACCAGAGAACTGTCAGAATCCAAAAGAGATGAGGATTTCAGAAGAGGCCTCTTCACTGAAGTCATTGTGAAGAGGCACTCAAAGAGTCAAACTGAGAAAGGTGACCTTGTCCTTCTAGTGTCCAATTACAGGAGAAGGGGAAGTCATGCACCAGAGTGCAGGGCGCCAGACAATGTTGGTGCAGCCCAGCTAATGGCTTGGCTGAGAAGCTCAAGATGGAACTGGGAGTGAGAAAAGGAAGTTAACCTAACCTCCTGCTTTCTAGTGATGGTCTTTGTCTCGGATTCTCCATATAAACCTAAAGTCTGGTTTTCATTGTGAAGTGAAAGATCTCTCTCTCCGTGCATCCTTGGCGCATTTGCCCATCCTGTGGCCACAGGCTCCCACACCTCCCTCCACCTGCCAGGGCTCTGAGGTGCATGATGCCAGGGTGGCCCAGCTCTGTGGTCAAGCGGGGGGCACGTACATGCTCAAGGGTGGCCCCTGCTTAGCTGGGCCTTGACAGGCTGATTCTCAGGGGAACAGCCTTCTTCCCAGAGGAGCTGGGCCGTGGGGCAAGGCTGCATAAACAGGAGCCCTCTGCTCCTGGCTCTGACCGTCTGTCCCATGCAGGGCAGCCTGTCCAGGCTTCTCAAGTTCCGGAAGTTCCGGAGAGCCTTGACTCCTGACCTGCTTTGTTTTGGCAGCTTATGGACCACCAAGCAGAGTTCAGCAAATGGTGGCTGACCCAGTTCAAGACTGTCAAGTTTCCCTCCCAAGGAACCATCTTTGACTATTATATAGACCCCGAGACTAAGAAATTTGAGCCTTGGTCCAAGCTCATCCCCCAGTTTGAATTTGACCCCGAGATACCTTTGCAGGTGAGTGCAGCTGAGCCACCAGGGACGGGCAGTGCCTCCAGGATCCACGGTGGCTCCAGCCCCTTATCTGTATGTGAAGGGTGTGACCTTGCTAGGAACCAGTCATCTGCAGCTACTCGCCTTTTCAGAGGGCGTAATAGGAGCAATGAAGTCACAAGATCCCCCAAAGGCTAGTTACCAGTTGCCAGACCCCCCGACCGGCATCCTGGGAGGAGAAGGGGAGATGACAGAGGCAGAAGGTTAGGCCACAGGGAGGCAGACAGTGCTGGTCTAGGGGCAAGGGTCTGCTCTCTACCGAGAGCATGATTTAGTAGCAGGGCCTCCCTGGGTATGGGGGTGAGGGGGCCCTCCTGCCCAAGGCAGACAGCTCCACCCTGCCCGCCGAATTCCCTCTCCGGAAATGCTCCAGGACAACTTGCGGGGCATCTGTTTCTCTCATGAGCCCCGGGCACTCTCATCATGTTCCCACGCCAGGCCTGTCTGGTGCACACGAGCGAGACCATCCGAGTGTGCTACTTTGTGGAGCGGCTTGTGGCGCGGAGGCGGCCGGTCATGCTGGTGGGGACGGCAGGCACTGGCAAGTCGGTGCTGGTGGGAGCGAAGCTGGCCAGCCTGGACCCAGAGGAGTACCTGGTGAAGAATGTGCCCTTTAACTACTACACCACGTCTGCGATGCTGCAGGGTGAGGGGGCGGAGGCCGTGGAGGAGGGGGCGGGGCTGTCTGGGTGTCTCAGTGTCCCTGTTCCTCTGCCCCCAGGGGGCACTGTGCATTTCCCCCCCCCACGGTCCCCTTCTCGCCCCTCTCCTCCCATCTCCCCCCAGCCCCTCTGCCCACTTTCCATCACCTTCAGCACGCTCTCCTTTCCCATCCTCTCTCCTTACCTGCCTCCCTGGCCTCCTAGACTCTTCCAGGGCAGGGCTCGGCACAGATCAGGTCAGCACTTGATGACAAAGAATGCACAAACCCACTGGAAGATGTCCATGGGCTCATAGACTTCTGGCCCCAGATGTGTCTCTAGAGATCACTTCATTCACCCTTCGTCTCCTCTAGAGGGGGGAACTGAGGCTCAGATAAAGGTACGTGGCAGCCCAAGTTCACCATCAAGCGACAAGGCTGGCATGGAGTGTCTACTCTGCTGACCACATGGAGCGTGTGTAAAACTGGGAGTTTACACTTGGGCTCCCTAGGGGACATGACCCTTGGAATTAAGGAGGGATTGAAGGTGATGTGGTACGGTCTGCTTTAAAGGGCGGGCAGTATACCCAGACAGAAGTGCAAAGTGTGTGTTTATAATGTGTCTGTCATGGCAGAAGATGAGAAACAGCTTAATTATCCGTGTGATGGAATGCTAAGCAGTATTGCAAAGAATGAGGAATTCTATATGAACCGAGTTGGAACTATTTCCAAAAGCTTTGCTGAATGAAAAAAGCAAGACTCAGAACAGTATATATAGTATGCTCCAAATTGTGTCTTCTTAAAAAAGACATATATAAACATTTGCTTATATATCTACACTCGTACATCTGCGCTTACATGTACTAAGAACATCTCCAGGAGGGCACAAGAAACGGGCAGCAGTAGTTGCCCCTGGCAAGGGGAACGCGATGCTGAGAGTGGGATGAAGAATTACTTAAACTTCTTTAAAAATTGTGAAATATTTGAAGCATTCTGAAAAGTACAGAAAATAGTATAACAGATGCCTGTGCACCCACCACCCGGATTTCACAGATGTTAACATTTTGTCATTTTGCAGTAGATCTTAACATTTTAAGTACAGCCAACACACCACCCCCCTTCCTCCCTCATGCCCCTCTTTCACCAGACTAGGACCACTGCAGGTGAGGGGCATCATTCCAAATTGACACTTTTGATACAGATAAGTATCTATAAAATACACAATGTTGTTGTGTGTATTTAAATTTTAAGTATACGTCGTACTGTAGCTCCCTTTGGTAACTTGCTTTTTTTCATCAACATGTGGAGGTTTTTCATTGGTTTTCACTGCTGCGTAGAATTCCCTTATGTGAGCAAATCACAGCTCATTTCTCCATTTTCCTACTAAAAGGCAGCATAATTTTTTTTAACATTTTCTCTTCTAAAAAAGCATTTTTGAGTTATAATTGACATACAATACATAGCACACATCAAAGTATACAACCTGATAACTGTTGAAATATTTACCCATCATGAGACCGTCACTACAGTCAAAGTAATAACTTATCCATCATCTCCGAGAGCCCCTCACCTCCTGCAGTGACCCCTCCCTCTCTTCCAGTCCCCCCAACACCGCCCTGCCCTGTGCCCGAGGCAGCCACGAGGGATTAGTTTGCATTTTCTAGAATTTTGTATGATAGGATCGTCATACAATAGGCCCTCTTTTTTGTCTGGCTCCTTTCACTCAGCATGCTTTTGAGATTTCTCCATTGTTGTTGAGCATATCACTAGTTTTTTCTTTTCATTCCTCAGTTGCAAGATAAAATGTGTAAACCCTCAGAATGATTCCTAGCATACGATAAGTATTCAGTAAATGGAAGCTGTTATTCTAACAATATTAAAATCCTTCTCAAATTTAAGAATCTATAAATATTATACAGTTACCTCTAAGCCCCACTGTCAAAACAAAAGGAACCCAAGTAAACCCCTTCTGCTTGAAAAAGGTGTTTAACATAAATTATGCTAAAACAAAAATAATGTTTTCGGAAGAAATGTTCCAGCTTTGCAATGAGCAATAACTTCACCCAGCAGGTCGATTCATTGAGGTCTCCAGGGCCATATTTTGCAGCTCCCTCATCCTGCTAGTCCATCGAATTTCATTTTTCTCAGAATCAGATGCTCTTTTATAGAGAAGGCAGCTGCTCGATATTCCCTGCATCTCTCCTTTTATTGCATCCAGTGCTGGGGTCCCCATTGAGTACTTTTCTAAACCCAGATTCAGACCTCTTTTAAATACAAATGGGTATGCGCACTGCTCACCAGCGTGGATAGCACATGCTTTATTTAATGTTTATACTATGCCAAGCCCCTGTATTATCAGTAATGCTTTTGACTGCAAGCAGCAGAAAATCTGATGACAGCGACATAAACAGATTTTTTTTTCCTTCATGCAACAGGAAGTCTTCAGGTAGGCAGTTACTGAAACTAAATCAATGGTTCAATGCTGTTGAGACTATAATGTGTATTATTGTCTTAGCTGCCCCCTCAGGGTGGAAGAGTGGCTTCTGCTCCAGCCATCACATCTGCATTCCAAATGGAAAGAAAAATAAAGGGAAGAGTTAATGTCCGAGTCAGGAAATAACAGCTCTCCCATAGACTTATGTGTGTGTCTCACTGTTCAGAACTGTGTCACATGGCCCCGCCAGCTGGAAAGTGACTAAGGAGAGGGGAGTTGGAAATGGTGTCTACTGGGCTGCACCTCGCAGGCCTACAAGGCCTGTACTCACCCAGCTTCAAGACTGAAGTCAGTGACAGAGACATCAGTGGTTCAATAGATGGTGGGAGCTTACGTATCTGAAGCAAGGTCCGAGTGACACTTCACTGTGTGAGGCAGATGGCAGGCATGACAGGGTGGCAGTCATAGCTCCCTGGGGCTGGGGGGAGGTTGGCAGTTATAGAGGGAATTGACATCAGGTTGGCTCACTTGGTACCAGGGAAACCAGCAGAAGGACACGCCCCTCACTGCCCCTTGGGTAAGAACAGTCACTAGCTGGGGCCTGGGGCAAGTATGTAGGAAGGTCAACCGTGAGGTCTGGGTGTCAAGGAAGCAGATCCTGGTCGAGCAGGGGACGTACAGAGAGCAAGAGAACAGCCACCTTGACTGGCCTGACGGTACAGTGTCCGTCACCGATCTGATGATAATCTCTGTCTTCACAAGATGAGAAAATGAGGGTTAGAGGAGCTAAGTGACTTCCCTCGAAGTCACACGATGAGTTAATAGCCAAGCTGTCTCTTGGATTGTGCTGTCGCGCCCGTCCACTTTGATGAGACTATAAGCCATGCGTCTGAATTTCCATAATAGAATGCCAACTTTGCTTCTGTTCATCTGACATCTAGAGCACATGGATGTCTCTCCCTTTGACAGTAAATAACACTGGCCCTTCACTTGGTCACTGAAACTCTCAGGCTTCACTTGACCACTTGCCAGCAGCTGCACAAACTGCAGATTAATAACACTGACATCTTGGCTGAGAGAGGCAGAGCTCCGTGCTCGGTCTCTGGTCCTCCAGCTGCTCTAAACTCCACAGACCCGGTTGCACTGCTTTCTTTCTCTTCACTGAGTTACAATTCATTGGTCCATCCTTGGGTGTTGTTGAAGTTTAGGATGATAAAAGATAATTTTAAGTGTTTTTTAATATCTCCTATAAAATCTCAATTGAAGACGGTGCTCATTTTGAAGCCTGATAGACCTTTTGTAAATACCATGATACATGCCTTTTAGAATTGAGTGCCTGGAAAATTTTTTCATACAGGAGTAGAGTTGGGTTTGTACCAGAGATCAGGGATGACGTGGTTACTGTAATTAAACACAGGCTTAGTTCTGAGCTTTCAAGGAGGCAGTTCACGAAGGACAATGCGACAGTTTTTATTTGGTTACAGTAACAATTTCGTCCCTGATTACTAGTGCCAATAAGTGTCTTCTGTATTTTAGAGTCTCGTTTTAGTCTTCAGTTGTTCTGTTTTATGTTTGTTCAAATACCTTAAGCCTTTTCTCATTCATTTTGAAAATATAAGTAATTTTTAAAATTAAAAGAATTTGTGCTGACTCATAGACAGAGCAGTTTAGAAAGAGCAAAGGAGGAGTAAAGCCCTTGGTCACGGCGTCAGTGGGCTTTTATTTGCAGTGTGAAGGGAGGTAGCCAGACTGATGCTCATCACGGTCCTGAGTTCTCCTGCCAGCCAACTGCAATTTGAAGTATTAGTTCAACAAATATTTGAGTGTGTAATTATACTAATTAGATAGGAGCTCAGGTGTCTGAGTCTTTGTATAAAACAAATCTCCATCACCTGTTCATTAAAAGTTTAAGGTTAGACAGGACTTTGAAAGGTCTGATCAAACTCTCAACCTCAAAGGAGTATTACATCATCACAGATAGACAGCTCTCACTTGCCTTAATAGCTTCCAAAAAGGAGATGACACAAAATTAAATCGTTAAAGACTTACCATCTAGTGGCCAAGACACACTACTTGAAACGTGGGTAGGGGGGTGGTTCAAAGTATAAGGCAATTGAAAAACAACACATTTCAGACAATAGGGAAGCCATTCTGTAAATGTTGGTGCCTCCAAATTATGGAACACAATGTATCAACTGAAATCACGTTTTGGAAGGTTGTGTATGTGAATGAAAAATACTGCCAGCCGTATTAGTAAACAAAGGATGCTGTGGCCGTCAAATCATCAGCCGCTACTGCTGCCCCTGTGAGCAAAGGGAACTCAGGATACAGACAAGCAGGCAGTCGGGCCTCTGCTGCCACCCCGAACGGTGCCCCCTGAGGGAACTCGGGATGGGAAAGAACAGGACACTGGCCCTAGATAGCTAGGTGCGCATCAGAGGAATGATTTTAGTGAGTCCAGACTTTTGTACCTTCCCATACATAGAAAAGTGCTAAATTTCTTAACTTGAGATATCTGGTTTTCTTTAATTAACAGTAATCTTTGGACGTTTCAACTACCTGGTCTTTGTGGCAAAATTCCTATATATCCTGGCTCCTTCCCTGCCTCTTTGGAGCAGTCCCTCAGAGCGATCTGAGAGGCCGCCTCCTGGGCCCAAGTCCTCAGAAAGTTCTCCAGATAAAATATAGCTCACAACTTTTAGGTTGCACATATTTTTTCAGTCTACATGTATTATCACATAAAGAGGTTTACAATATGTGAAATGAAGAAAACATACAGGCAGAATATATAGTGTAATTCTAATTTTAAAAAGGAAAAATCTAACAGAGCAAATAGACTAGAATGAAATACACCAAAATACTGCAAGTAATGCTTACTGCTAGGTGATAGAATTATGGGCAATTTTCATTTTCATCATTATGATTTTCTGTGCTTCTTCAGTCTTTATATAATCAATATGTATTGTTTTAAAATCATGCAAAGTATACTTTTTGAAAAAAATAAATGAAAAGTACTTACAATATAACTGAAAGGTCTTATGTGAAATATTGGATAATATGAAAGGAAAATAGTTCAAACACAGATACACAAGTCATGTCGGTGCCAAGACATGATTGATTTTAATGATCTCTGTCAAAAACACTGTCAGGCAATGAGTTAACTAAACCAGGGATTTCTGAAGGGCAGAAGCCAGCTCACAGTCCTGTGTAAGAAATGGTTTGCCATGGTAGTTACATAGGGTGCCACAGTCAGGCAGGCCCAGGTTAGAATCCCAGCTTTGCCTTCAGCAGCTGTATAACCTTGGATAAAGCTCCTCAATTTCCCTAAACCTCAGTTTTCTCCCTTGTCAAAAGATTTTTTTAAAGGTGATGCTAATGCATACCAGGGCAGATAGGAGGGTCAGTGCCAGAATGCAAGTCAAGTCCTCTTCACAGAGCCGGGTCCCTGGTAATGATGCTCCACGAATGCGTGGACGCACTGCCCTGGTGTTCAGAGACTAGAGGACTTCACGGGACCGTGGCGCTCAGGGACAGCCCTGGAGAGGGGTTGCGACGTGAGGGCTCACAAGGCCTCTCTTCCCCAGTGATACGAAAGAAGCATTGAAGTCAGTGTCTACAGACCCAGATTCTAACTCCAGCAAGGTATTTAGCCTGCCGTAGCCTCCGTTTCCTTAGTTACGGGGGGGAATGATAAATCTTTCTTTGCCTACTCGTGGAGTTTGTTTTAATAGTAGAATTCATTCATTCATTCTTTAGTAATTTTTGAACACCCTATTTTGTTCTGGATAATATTCTCAGTGCTGGAATTATGACAATGAAAAAAAAAAACAAAGATTCCTGGCCTCCTGGAGTTTATAGTGTGGAGAGCATGAGATAATAAAGAAGATAAATAAGTAAATTATATGGGATATTAAGTGATAATAAGTGTTATGGAGGAAAATGACCCAGGGGCGGGGAATAGCCAGTCAGGGTTTTCATTTGGGCTTGAGTGCCCAGGAAGAGCTTACTGAGAAAATGGCATTTGAGTAAATAAATGCATGAAGGAAGACAGGGAGCAGACTTCTGGAGTCTGGGAGAAAAGGCTTGCAGGCAGAGGAAGCAGCCAGAGCAAAGGCCCCAGCAGCGAGTGACTAGTGTGTCAGAGGCAGGACGGCTGGAACGCAGGGAGTGAGGAGGGGAGCAGCGGAAGAGAACCCTGAGATGCAGGGTTGGCCAAGACACCTGGACTGGCTTCTGCTGCAGGCAAGGTGAGATGCCACCGAGGGTTTTCAGCAGGGGGCCAGCATGACACGGTTTACATCTTACAAGCACACTCCTGCCTGCTGTTTGCAGGATGGAGTGCAGGGATCCAGGGCAAAAGCAGGAGGAGCATTCGGGAGGATGTCGTGGTTCCAGGTGGGAGTCGACGGGCATGGGCAGTGGACACAGCGGAGACGGTGAAATGGGGGAACCAGCAGGAACCCACTTTGAAAATGAAGTAGCTCCTCAAATGTAGGATGGCGGTAAAACGGGGCAGGAGGACCGGGGTGAATAAAAACAGGGCAGCTGGTGCTGCTCCACATGGCCACCAGCTGACCACCCAGCTTGCTGTTGCCTCCAGAGAAATGCAGTGAGAGGCACAGGTGCACACTGGGCATGGCCTTGTTCATGACAATGCAGAACCCAGAAAGGCGCCGGGATGGCCACCTCTCCAAATATGACTCATTCGTTCAGTGCCTTCAACATCGACACTTTTGCTGAAATGTAAACCCACTTCTGGTCCCCCAGTTCTGCTTGGAAACAGAAGAGCTCTCTACCATTCCATTCTAGATGGGCCCAGAAGGGATCCAGCCTGTGTGCCTTTCCCCAGGGAGCCCTCTCTTCCCCTGGAGTGCTTAACATCGTCCTCCTGAGATAACCGGTGTTCCAAGGCCGCTTCCTACTAACTGGCGTGCCTTTCTCTTCAGCAATCCTTGAGAAGCATGAAGAGCTTAATCAACCCAAATGACAGGGTCTGCTTAACTCCAGGAGTTGATTTGAATATCATTGCTCTGGGAGGAGGAGAAACAGGTCTTCCTAAGGAGAGAAGCTCCTGTTAGAAGGACTGTTGCATGTCCTTGGCAGCCCATTAATTATAGTCCATTTTGACAGATCTGATATATAGTTGTTATGTCTTAAGGGGGGAAGAGGTGTTGCGTGATTAATTGGTTGATAGTGTATGTTAATTGGATGCTAATTAAATTTAAATTTAATTCATACTTGGAACACTTAATTTAACTCAGGACCAGAAAATTAGAATATTCAAGCTTCCTGAAAGAACTTGTCTTTCTATCTGTCACCTTCATATGTCTGTTGACACTTCCTCCTTGTTTACAAACTTGTTTTTCAAGAAAAGGGATCAGATGGTTCTCAGAGCCTCCAGCTGTAATAGTATTGGTTCTTGCAATATATAAATATCTAATTGCTTTATTGAAAAAAAATACATACATCTCTACCCTGTTACTTAAATTTGTTCTGAACAAGTCCTGTCATGCTGGAAAACCATGCTGTTTGGTTCCTTCCCTCTGGCTGGATAATTGAAGAAACGGCTCTAGGAGAAGAGTCTGTGCTTAGTTTCCAGAAGGGCGCTGAGCTGCTCTGATACCTGAAGGCAGAGGGGAGGCCGTTCCTGACACTGGACGCTTTTGGGAATTTCTCTGAGGCTGTAGTTTCTATTCTCCCTCAGGGAAAACCCCAGGAGGTGAACTCTCTAAGAACACTGTTATCAAAACATCCAGTAACTCCCCTCTTCTAGCCCTGGGGTGGCAGGAGCCTCCTCCCAGCCCTGGGGTGGGAGCCACAGCCTTCTGGCTCCTCTGCTGTCTCTGGTAGAGAGGGCAGGGATGCCCAGGATCTGGTTATTTGCAGGTGTCCGTAGGATTAGAGCACCAGGCCTTGGGACTAGGAAGGTATCCTCTGTGTCCAGTCTACAAAGAAAGAACGCAGTGGACCACACGTGTGGCAGAAGGAAGGCGGGCTTTGAAGTTTAACTGGTTTGGATCTGTATCCTGACTTGACCTCAGAAAAGTTGATTCGTTCTTCTGAGCCTCAGTTCCGTGGTCTGTAAAAGGGAACGATGGGACTAATCTCGCAGCAGTGTTGTCAGGATTCAGTGAGATCACATGCCTGTGTCAGGTGCTCGATGCCTGGTCGCTGCTGTCACCATTGCTTCTTAGTCACTGCCAGCTTCACCTCTGGTCCTGCAGCGCTGCCCGCAGCGGGGAGCAGCTGTCATCGCTGCACGCACACGTGCCGCACTGTGGCTCGTCCTCGACATGGTACTGTCTTAGAACTGGCTTCTGAGGTTTCAGCCTCCTTCCCTCACCAACTGGCTCTCTCCTCAGCTGTCCTGGAGAAGCCTCTGGAAAAGAAAGCCGGCAGAAATTATGGCCCCCCAGGCCACAAGAAGCTTATCTATTTCATTGATGACATGAACATGCCCGAGGTGGACGCCTACGGGACTGCGCAGCCCCACACGGTCATCCGGCAGCATCTGGACTACGGCCACTGGTAAGAGCACACGGGAAGGGCGGGGCCGCATGGGGAGAGGTCCAAGGCCGATCACGCGTCTGCTGGAGCTGCAGGCCTCTGCTCAGCTCTAGTGCCGGGGGAGAATCCCAGCAGCAACCCACGTTCCTCATGGGATTCTGCTCCCTGCAGTGTCTACCTCCCAGACAGGGACTTTGTACCAGAGAAGGTACTGAGCTCTCACTGAAGGAAAAATGCCTACGTTTTTCTTCAATATTCATCACAAAAGTTGCCTTTCCCAAGCTCTGGAAGCACAACTAACCACTCCCCACCCCAGCGTCACGTCCCCCGTGGTCCTGTCGCACAGGGCAGGGACTTCACTGGGAACACCTAACAAACTGTACGGTACACACGTGCCTGTGGATCTTGACAGTCTTCCTCTTTCCAGCGACTCACAGGCTCTGATAGTATCTTTTGCAACAGTATAGTTTTTAATGGCAAAATGTCTAAACTTGCCAGAAAGAAAAAAGCAAGTCAGTGACTTGAGACAACTTGGGCTCATCTTCCTCGTGCTGACTTCACGGGTGCTGAGAAGGCATGGGGCGTGTGAAGAGGGAATTCAGAGAGAAGAATTAAAGTTACGGTGGTCACCTGAGTTGCCTTTCATTCATTCCTAAGGTCTCTGTTGGGCACCGACCACGGGCCACCATCCACTATCTCCACACCAGTGTCTGAGCAACTGAAATCTCCTGGGAAAACCAGCCAGGCTAATTAGTTTTACTTAGACTCTTGGTCACAAACCTTAAACAGAAAGTAGAAAGTTCCTGTACATTCTACCCTCTTGCCTTCCTATGTTTACATTTCTGCTCTCAGAAGTGTCTGTTTCATACCTTCTCTCTCCTCCAGCTTCCCGTCTCCAACATGCCATCCACATTTCCAGCTTCCATGTCTCTGCCACTTACTTGCATCCCCAGGCATCTTCTCCTCCCTCCCCCTGTGACGTTTTCTTTATGGCTTACTTCACTTAGGCTGATGATCTCCAGGTCCATCCGTGTTGCTGCGAATAGCATTGTTTTATTCTTTTTAATGGCTGAGTCATATTCCATTGTATAAATATACCACAACTTCCTTATCCAGTCATCTGTTATTGGACCAAAAAAAAAACATTTTCTGCTTACTGTGCTGTCTCTGTCTACCTAACCAAATTCTCTACTCTGTCTCCAGTTCCTCATCTCCCACTCACTCCCCAGTTCACTGTTACTTGGTTTCTGTTTCCTCTACTGAACTGTTCTTACTCAATCACTAACTGTGTCTTTATTGTGAAATCCAACAAACCCCATTGGGTCACTTTCTTACGTTCTCTGCAGCCCTTGATGTGGTTGACTGCTCTCTCCGTTGGGAATCCTGTCTTCCCCGGCTTTCTTCACACACCCTTGACTTTCCTCCTGCCTCTTAGACCATCTTTATGGTCTCTTCTTTCTATGCTACTTGCATAGATATTGTATCCCTCAGGAATTTGTCCTAAGCTCTTGTCTCTTCTCTGTTTCTACCAGTGGATCTGGACTTCTTTTCCCCCAAAACACGTGAATGATAGAGCCCATCCCACCTCACCTTGGCAACATGCTCACCTACCTGGGCCTTCAGTCAACTCTCACTGTGGTTTCTGACTGTTCCAGGTATGATCGAAATAGACTGTCCCTGAAGGAGGTCATGAATGTGCAGTACGTGTCCTGTATGAACCCCACCGCGGGCAGCTTCACCATCAACCCCCGGCTTCAGGTACGGGAGGAGCTATGGCACCTGGGTCCTAAGCACCACCTTACCGCCTGATGTCACTCAATTGCATGCCGTAATTGGCCCTTCCCCCGTCCAGCCTCTTCAAGGAGTAACCACAGGGGTTGACTTGCATTTTCAGGGAGACAAAAAAACTCTCTAGACCCAGAGTTCTGAAGCTTTTGGAGCCGAATTAGAATAGAGTTCATCTAATTCAACTTGGTCTTCAGAATGACAGAACTTCAGAGAGGTGCATGGCCCTCCCGAGGTCATGTAGGCTCTCAGCATCACATTCAGATTTGGACTCAGATTCCCAGGGTCTGGGTTCTGTTCTCTTCCTGACACACCACATGGTCAGAGGTCCACAGCCCATTATCACCCCTACTCATTTTAGAGTCAATCTGAGTTTGGGTTTAGTGTGAGAATTGTGATCAGAATGTAGACTTCAAAGTCCTTCCAAGAATTCTTCACTGCTTTATCCAGATCCAGAAGCAGCAAGTTCTGTTCGGGGACCGTGGCCGTCTAACCCGTGGCCTCCTCCCCATGCTCTGTTTCCCTGTGCAGCGCCACTTCAGTGTGTTCGTCCTCTCCTTCCCGGGAGCGGACGCCCTGTCCTCCATCTACAGCACCATCCTGACTCAGCACCTGAAGCTTGGAAACTTCCCAGTATCACTGCAGAAATCCGTCCCCCAGCTGATCAATCTGGCCCTTACCTTCCACCAGAAAATTGCCACCACGTTCCTCCCCACAGCAATCAAGTTCCACTACATCTTCAATCTCAGAGACTTTGCCAATATTTTCCAGGTAAGTCCATCCGCTCCGAGGCACCTTTGAAGGCCTTAAGATGATCCCTTTCCCTCCATTCTTGGCCAGACTCTCAGGCAAAGGCTCAGTTCATATGCAGTTCAGAACGTAAATTAGTTAACAGGGTGCTGTAGGGTCCGTGAGGTTCTGTTCAATAAAGCAGAGTTCCGCTCGCTGACTGAATTACTTCTCAGGAGGCAGAATGCATTTCTGAGTCAGTTCCTTCGGGCTGGAGGAGACTCACACTTTGGAGATAATGTTGTATAACAGTTCCTGCATGCCTAGGAAAGAAAACGGCACAGAAGAAAGAAAGAGAAAACTGTTCTGCGGGCCCTGGTGGTACACCGTTATTCTTGAGATGAAAAATAATGCCCCCCAAACCATTGGAGGATACGGCTCTGCTTCCCAAAGACATCGGGTCGTACTGTTCCTAAAACAGCATCCGCCAGCCCCGGAGAAGCCTCAGTCCTAAAGGTTCCCGGTTCTTTTCCAGGTCAGAGCCGTTTCAGATTCTTGCATCTGCTCATCTGAGTAGTGATGACCTGTGTCTTCCTGTTGCTTCTAGTCTCTTGGCCTTTCACTGTAGAAACCTCCAGAGGGCAATGTGGCAACCCCGGCCCTCTCTTCTCCTTGGTCAGGTACCACATCCTCATGTGATGGGTCCACAACTCTCCCATCCTGGACGAGAATCTGCAGAAACTACTTTTCAGAGGCACCCCTCGCCAAGATAGTTCTGAGCCATTATTGACTGGAGGGTGCTTTTTACACCAAGCAGAGGCCACACCTGTAGGGAAATGTCAGCGCCATCGGGGAGTGAGGCGTGACCCTCCACGGGGAGCACAGGTATTGGGGATTAATTACCCAGGACACGCCCTGTACAGGTGGGTCTCTGGGGAACCTCAGACTAGCCCTGAGGCCATGGCCCTGCATGTTTCATGGTCATAAGGAGCAGAAACCTACTCCAAGATCCAAGAGTGATGCTGCATAAAGGTTTACCTGGAGGTTGGAGCCTCTGAGCCCCACACCCAGGGCAGGTCTGAGAGCACATCCAAGCTGGCTCAGGACAGCCTTCCTGGGTCAGGTGCCCCCCAAACACTCACTCAGTTACCAATGAGGGAACAGACCCACAGAGATTAGATCGATTTGCCCAAGAGCACACAGCCAGCCAGGGAAGGAGCTGGCATTGAATCTAGGTCTTCCAGTTCCTGGCCTGGACCCCCTTCCACCGCGGCACTCTGTCCTTCTGTCCATGCTTCCAGTGAAGAGAGCAGCCTGACAGAGTCAAGGCGGCAAGAGCCCTCAGCTCCAAGCCTGTAAACCCACAGCCCTGTGGCCCTCAGACCTGCACAGTGGCGAAGTTCCTGTGTACCCACCCTGACCTCCCATTTTTTGGGTATTAATTGAGAAAGACTTTTTAAAAAGTCACACACGCCCTCTCTTAGATCTCACTGCAGCAGGCTGAGGTGGGGGTGTCAGCCCCTGCGTCTTCCAAGTGAACAAACGGGAGTTAAGCAGATCAGATTCACGTTGTTGGTAGTAACAGAACCAAAGGAGACAAAGGCATCAGTGTCCCTCACAAGAAGCACAAGCCCCGCTCCCACCTGGCGGCGCCTCGTCACCTGTCCCACCTGAAAGTCAGACTCACAGCCACCCTTTAGGACACACTATTATCCCAGTTTAACAGAGGCTCGGAGAAGTGGCCAGCCAGCAGACGACAGCATGAGTGGTCGAGGAGGCGGAAACATGTAAACGGCGTTAGTGGAATACGGAGCAGGTGGGAGCAGACAGTGAAGGGGAGAGTCAGTGAGGGAGGAGGACGGGAAGTTAGTTTTGAGACCAGTGTGGATGCGTGGAAAAGGTCTGTAACAGCAGCCTGTCCTACGCCCTCTACGTCTGTTAGCTAGTCATTTAATCCTCACCACCAGGAAAAACACTGATCATTTCCAATTCAGAAATGACAAAACTGTGCCACAGACACAGGAAGTCCTTCGAGCACGTTTGCGTAACTGGGAAGCAGAAGCCCCAAAGCCCAGAACTAGAGCGATCAGCTCTACCGTGCAGGGAATTCGGGGCCCGGGGCTTCCTGAGGAAGGAGGGTCCCATTCCAGCCTGTTTTAATGGCAGCAGTGCAGTGAGGGGAGATACTGGAGTGGGGGCTGAGCCTCTGGTTCCACTGGCCTGTTTCTTTCCCGACTCAGGCAGCCTGCGTGGCAACCCCTGGGCTCTGTGTCACAGCCCCTCCCCTCTGCAGCCTGCCAGCTGTCAGCCCCCTGCCCAGATGTGGGAAAGTGCATCCCTGCTGGAGGGTCCACCTCCCTCCAACCACACAGACCCTTGCCCTCCTCCTCCAGAGCCGAGTTCCAAGCTCCTGGCTTGGCTGCAACCTCCCCCACCCCCGCCCAGCCCACTTGTCTAAAGGCCTGACGGGAGAGCTTAAGGGGAGATTGAATGCCCTGTAGGCGACGGGCGCTGCTGGAGAAGGAACGTTCTGTCTTCCTCCGTCCAGCTTGATCCAAGGCTCAGTGATCCGAACTTTCTCTGCACTTCACTCACTGCCCAGGACGTGGACATCAGGGCAGACTGTAATGGTGCTTGAGTAGCAGAAATCATTAACCGTCCGCATGTCAGTGCGCTCACAGCTCTCTCAGATGCTGCAAAGTTTGCCCTTGACGTGCTCACATCCACTCAGCCCTTACCTGTCAGTCAGCCTCAGTGTTTGGCTGTAATGGGGCTTGTAAATGTCAGCTGATTGCACAGCTCACTGTAAAGCCCTGTCCCCAAAGTCAGCACTCCTGGCTGTGCTCCCTCCACCCCCCGCACTCAAGCAGGGCGGATCCCCATGAGACCTGAGGAGGACAGGGGGGCTGAGATACAGGTGTGGGTGGGGCCAAAGGGACCTAATGACATTTCTTTCTTTTTTTAAAAAAATAAACTCTTACTGCAGTATAGCATCCAAGTAGAAAAGACACACATCATAAGCATACAGTTTGGTTAAGGGTCACAAAGTCATGGCAGCTGTGGAACCACAGCTCAGATGGAGAAACAGAACGCTGCCAGCATCCCTGAAACGCCTCCTTTTTCTATTTTTCATTCATCCTTTTCTTCTCCTCCCAGAAGTAAATACTGTCCAGACTTCTAACACCATCAGTTATTTTGGCCCATTTTGGGACTTTATATAAATGGAATCATACAGTGAATATTGTTTTGTATCTTTGTTCACTATTATGTTTGTAGCTATATGTACAATCATGTAGTTGGTAAAAAAAAATTAATCAAAGTAACCATTTCTTTCTTTCTAAACCCTAAATCTTCCAGTTTTCTTTTTCTTACTGTGCTGGCTACAGCTGCCCCCACGATGAAGAGAAATGGTGACAGTGGCATTGTGTTGCATTCCTAATTTCAGAGGGAGAGCTTTTAATATAATAGTTGGCCCTTAAGTATGAAGCTTATTGTAGGTTTTTGTGGATGCTCTTTACCAGATTAAAAAAATTTCTTTCTGTTTATAGTTTACTAGGAGTTTTTATCGTGAACATATGTTGAAACTTAACAAATGACTTTTCTGTATCTGTTGAAATAATTATATCTATTTTCCCCTTTTTTTTCTGGAAATGTGATCAATGACTGATTATTTTTGAATGTTAGCTCAACCTTGCATTTCTGTAATCAACCCAACTTAGTTGTTACATGTTGAATTTATTTTATTTTCTGGATTCCATTCACTATTTTTTCTATACAGTTTTTCGTCTATGTTAATAAGATTGTCCTATAATGTTTTCTTTCTTCTGCTATTCTAAGGTTATGAAGTCCTCATAAAATACACTGGGAAGTGTTTCCTCTTTTTCTACTCCCTGGAAGATTTTTTAAAACACTGTATTGTGCCTTCCTTAAATGTCAGAAGAATTTAGTGATAAAGCCATCTGGAGTTTTCTCTGTGAAAGATTTTAAATTATGAATCCAGTTTCTTTAGTACATACCAGACGATTCATATTTCCTATTTCTTCAGGCATCAGTTGTGGAAAGATGTTGGTGTCATCAGTTTCTGATTTATTGGCGTAAAGTTGTTTACAGTGGCCCGTTGTTACCTTCTAAGTGTCTGCTCTAGCGGACGTCATGCTCTCTTGTCTATTCTGGCTAGTGACTGTGTGCACCTTTTCTTTTTCTCTTCTTCCAGCCCTACTAGGGAGCTGTTGGTAGTGCTGGTCTTTTCAAAAGAAACTGAAAAAGAAGAAAATTACACCACTGTCATGTTTTTTACTTCATTGGTTGTCTCTATTTGATATGTTTTTATGTTACTAAGATTTGCTCTTTTCTTCTTTTAAAAATTAAAAACATTTTTTGTACAATTTACTTTTACTCATTTATTTTGGGGGAGGTAATTAGCTGTTAGGTTTATTTATTTATTTACTTATTTATTTTTAATAGAGGGGCTGGGAATAGAACCCAGGACCTCATGCATGCTGAGCACATGCTCTACCACTGAGCTGTACCCTCCCCCCTGCTCTTTTATTTATACTCTCTTTCTTCCTGCCTGCTCTGGGGTTAGGATTAGTTCATATTTTTCTAACTTCTTGACATGGCTACTTAGATCATTAATTGTCAGCCTTTCATCTCTTCTAAAATGCATATTTTAAGGCTATAAATTTATCTCTAATTATACCATTAGCTGCAGTATGCAAGCTTTTATATGTGACATTTTTTTAACATATTTCTTAATTTTCCCTATGATTCCTTCCTTAACCGAAGGGGTATTTTGGAGCATTCTGCTTTATTTCCAAAATTTAGAGATACTCACCATGACCTGGAAGAAACAAACCTGTACAAAGAAAACTAATTTTAGAAACTTATAATTCTTCTAAAATAGAGTTTTGTATATCAAGGGCACACCAGAGGGAATGTTGTTTGATGGGAAAGGGGGTGTCATGGATGAATTCAGCAAGGACTTACCAGTTGAGCTGGATACTGAGATGTGAGCATAGCAAGCAAAGCAAAGGCGTGGAGGCGCAGGCTACTCAGGGCTAGAAAACAATCCGAACTTGTGAGACCAAAATCTGGCTCTTACAAGAAGTGTTGGGAGGAGTGACGAGGAAGCAGACTGGTAGCTATTATGACAAGAGCTTTATACCATGCGATGAGTCTGAGTGTTATCCCATCGCTAATGGGAAACAATGGAAGGACCCCTTTCCTGTAAGACAAGGGGGAGAGCAATGAGGGCAAACAAGGCGTTGACGAGTTTGACCTTATAGGACCTGAAGTCGTTGAGAGGCTCCAGTCTCAGTGGTTTCCATTTCTCCATGAAAAAGAGGGCTTGGACGTTGGCTAAGAGCAGCAGAGAGAGGTGACAGAAATTTGAAAAGAACAGTAAATATTTGAAACGGTCCCTGAGGAATACAGGGAGGAGAACTTACTAGAGAGGAATGGATGGATTGCTGACCTGCAAAGTTAGCCATATCATTCCAGCCCGTTGTCACCACTCTGATTTTACAGGAGCAGTCAGCACCCAGATTCATTTTCAGAGTGGGGCTTATAGGATTGGGAAGCCACCTCACCCATCACAGTGGTGATTTGGAAATTCCAGGCTCTCTGTGTGGCTTCAAAACAGTGTGGTTTTAAACTAGTGCCACTTACTCTAAACATTGGCATGCTTCGTTCTGAATCCCAATCTTCACATTATGCAAAATGAATGTAGTAAAAATTAGTTTGTAGGGTCATCACAGTGATTAAATGAGCTTTGTCTGGCAAAACATCTATAGTTCAGTACCTGTCACGCACCTGGCTTCAATAAATTGTGGCTGTTGTAAATTGTTATTTATGTTAATTTTTGTTGCTGTTTATTTTTCTTAAAGGGTATGCTCTTCTCCTCAGTGGAATGTATAAAATCCACACAGGACCTAGTCAAGCTCTATCTGCACGAATCAAATCGCGTTTATCGGGACAAGATGGTAGAAGAAAAGGACTTTGATCTTTTTGATAAGATCCAGGCAGAAGTGGTCAAGAAGATGTTTGATGTGAGTACTGCAAGTGAATTCATGTTGACATCTGAAAAATAATGACATTTATACAGATGATCACCCAGATGATCAAAATCCAGCCCATAAATTGAAGAAAATCAGGATTAGATTAGGAAAGAAAATCTACTCAATATTTTGCCAAAGTGGAAAATGCCAGGGCAAGAAGAGACAAATTAATCACAGGATCTTGCTGTTGAGGTCTGTGGGGATCATCTGATCCAAATCCTTATCCTTACTGACTCCTCCCTGTAGCAGAGCCCAGGCTGGTCATCCTCTTGATGCACCGGCATCCTTGGAGATGCACAATCCTGTCTTTCCAAAGGCAGCCACTTTGGAACTGCCAATGAAATTTGGAACAACTTTGAAATGTGAAACCTTTGGAACATTTCTGAAGACTGGAGATTTATTTAAATCATGACCTAAAATTTACTTCCCTGTCCAGTAATCCTAGGTCTCCATGACAAACCCCCAAGCATTTTAAGACCATTTATCTTGTCCTTCCTGGGTCTTCTCTTTTCCAGGCCAGAGAACCTCTGGGGCTTTGTTTCTTTGTTTGTTTGTTTGTTTTGTTTTGCTTTAGCTATTTCTGACAAGGCTTTATTCCAACCCCCAGAGAAATTTGACATCATCTTGACTGCTCTCCCATCAGTTCTCCCCTCAGAAATCATGGTGCCCAACTTTGATCACACAACTTGAGTAGGTCTGACTAAAATCAACATCATCCTTCCCCTCTTCTTATGTACTGTAATTTTGTTACTGTGTTTCCCCAAATGTGTCCTGCCAAACAGCTATGTTATAATACACTCCTTGGAAAGAAGGTATCCATGATGAAATAAAATGAGAAAGTACTTCATATTATAACCCTTTCTTGGAAATTCCCAGTACATTCAGCACACTAAAGCCCTGAAAATCTTGAATCAGTCTGATTCAGATATCATTTCCCCAACCTGTTGGACCCAATTCTTTTCCCTTTATACAACCTACTAGTAATTTGAAGAATCGATGGTTCATAGAATACGCCCTGGGAAGCAGTGACCATGAACACAGCCTAAGATCACAACACACTTCTTAGTGTCAGAATTACCCCACAACTAACACTGAGCCTTCTGTTGAACAAAGCCCCATTCTATTTTCCATTCTATTGCTTGTCTGTCTTCTCTTGAACTTTGAAATAATCAGATCTTTTTTTGAATTGGAGTAGAGTTGATTTACAGTGTTGTGTTAATTTCTGGTGTACAGTTTCAGTTATACATATGTATATATATGTATATTCCTTTTCATATTCTTTTTCATTTTAGGATATTGCACAAAGTGTTGGATATAGTTCCCTGTGCTCGAAATAATCAAATCTTTGTATTTAAATATACCAGGTTGTCCCTGTGCTCATCTTGCTAGGTTCAGCTCCATATTTTTTTTCCTGGTAAGAGTCTGGGTCTACCTCTGAAGATACTTCCAGTCCATCCCAACCTATAGGACAACCTTTTGAATGTTTGGATAGCATTTTAAGGAACCTCTCAGTCTGCTGTTTACTGGTCCAATCACCCTAAATTCCTAAATTCCTATCATCTTTATACGGCCTGATGTCCAGCCCTCTCACATCTCAGCTGCCCCTCCCTGACCATTGCAGAATTTGCCAGTTTGTGTGATTATTGTTAGCTCTGTACGTGAGCCTTAACCGTCCTCTTAAGTTGGTCTGAGCTAGCGCTTTAGAGGAACAACAGTCACCTTTGACGCAGAAGTCCCCCGTGTAGGTCTGTATACTAAGAACGCGGCCCTCTGATCATCGACTAACCCAGATGTAATTAATACGGCCTTTATCCTCTCCCAACAACACTTGAAATGCCAACCTGAAGCACCCTGGCTACACCAAATCTGGCATTGAAGAAAAACTGCCGAATTTCCACCATGGAGGCACTATAGTCCTGCTTCTACTATCCAGAGCTTAAAGTTCTCTTAACTTGTGGCTCTTATGTAATACAACCTCACTATCAAGAAATCTTTGATTCACTGTGTGGGTTGGTTTTCTCTCTCTCTCCTGCACATCTGGCTTGTTTTTTCATCAGAGTCTTTGTGGACCAGGGTTTTCCGAACTGCCCTTTAGTTCTTTTCCTGCCAGGTCGTTGGTGTGAATTGACTGCCATCAGGACTGCTCCCCAGTATATTAGCCCATTTTCAAATTGGGTAAATGTATCCCCACATCACTTCCCCATGTGTTTTCGTCAACTAGCAAGAATGACTCTCCTGCCTTGCATTAAATCTTATCCAAATGTCCAAATGGACATTTATTGTTACTTTCTAGCAAAGCAAGCATCATTAAAAGGTTTCCTATGGCCCTGAAACCACCTTCAGAATGTAATAACTCTTCGCTATTTAACTCTTTCCACTTCTTTCTTCTTATAACCGAGCAGCAGCCCTGGCTTCTTAGAGATGTGACTGTCACCCCCACTTTCCCTCCCTCTGTTAGGTTTGATGCCTCTTGTCCTGTGGGCTCACAGGGCTAACCCTACAGTGATTTATGCCCTAGGTAATGCCTCTGCTGTTGAACAGCGTGCTGATTACCTCCTTGCCAGGTGGATTCTCCAGTCTGACCCTTAGGAGAAAAAAAGGGCAAGTGCGGACAGTTAAGCTGATATAAATCCCTGCTTATGCGTTAGAAAACCTTTTCTTTCTTCGACTTGCTTCCTCTACAACCTTTCTACCTCTTGAAGTCTCAGGTATTTGGGTTTTGATGAGCAAATAGTTCCTTTCCAAATTAAAAAAGAGTTAGCTGCCTCTTGGATACTTGAAGGATGGGTTGGTAGTGAGGAGACATAGACTCCGACTCTTTCAAGTCAGTTGAGCTGTGCTGGGTGTGTATTAAACAAGGTGAGGTTTGCCTGTGGGCAAGAGTGAACACACAATAAGCCCAAATCGTTATAGATGTTTTATAAATAAGGGGCCCTGTTGTAAATGTTTTGATATTATCATTGTCCCCTTAAACTAATCAGTCACTTAAGGATGGCTCACGGCTCATTTTTCAGAAGCCAAGCTCTGGGTTGAGTGTGTGAAGTCGGGGCTGGCAATCTCACAGAAAACAGGAAAGGATGTCTTATGACACTGCTGTGGATTGGGGAGCAGGACCTGTTGGAATGGATGTGAGGATGGGGAGGTGAGGTCTTTGGGCCACGGACTGGTGAAACCCAACACTGGTGAACGAGCCCCAGCTCACGGAAATTCACCCATGTGTCCCCACCCACTGCTTTGCGCAGACAGGGCTCTTGCCGTATATGTGGGAAGGGGACCTCCCACTTCCCATTTCCCATCGTCAGCCCACAAGGAATGACCAACAACATCTGTGACTTCATGGAGCTGCTAAATGAAAGTTAAGCATCCATTTTTAAGAGCTTCGCAGGAAAAAGGAGGTATTGGAAGCAGTACTGATAATTTTTACAGCGTGTTTGGAAAGAAACACAAATGAGATGTGTCTACTCTGTGTGGAGCCAGAATTGAGAGTCGGTAAGGAGGGTCCTTGCCCCTGTGTCTCATCACCAGGATATGGACGAGACCGTGGAGTGGACCCGAAGCCTGAACATGTATTGCCACTTTGCAAATGGTGTTGGTGAGCCCAAGTACATGCCTGTGCAGTCGTGGGAGCTTTTGACCCAGACTCTGGCGGAGGCCCTGGAGAACCACAATGAAGTCAACACGGTGATGGACTTGGTTCTCTTCGAGGACGCCGTGCGCCACGTGTAAGTGTGCATCTCTCCCTGCCTTTCCTTGGCTGTCTCCTCTCCCCACTATGGGGGTCTCATTTGGGTGTTGGAGGCCACTTTGATACAACCAGGGAAGCAGCCACTGCCTCCTCCCTGAAGGTAAAGAGGGCTGGTAGAGCAGCGGCTGCAGCTTCTGCCACTGGCCTCGGGGCAGCATAGGCAGAGCTCAGGGGAAATGGGTTTATTCCTCATGTGCCCTGCACCGTGCTGGGCATCATCACGTGACACCAGGGGAAAATGTGAGATCATAAATGAGGCATCAGAACAGCTTGGGGCCCACCTTCCCGACCCAGACTCATGCAAGGGCCAGCTTAGACTGAATAGTTAGACTGAAGGTTTGAAGTGCACACGTATTTCAGAAGCCAAGTATCCTTTCAAATGTTGCTGTCGAGGGAATCGCAGAGAGCTGTCCCCAAGCCTCCCAGATAGCGAGCACTCACCACTGCTTTCCCGACACTGCTCTCCGCATGCTGCAGCCTGAGTCCCAGCTCCCCACCTCCCTGCCTGCTCAGCTGTCTCCACTCTGTCCCCTGGGATGCATGGCCTCCAACGGCAAAATCCACTTTATCATCAACTTCTCTGAACCCCCTTCCCTGATGGATTCTAACTAAAACCTGACTGACCCCAGCGTTGAGGAAAGCGGTTTTTTCTTCCCCGTCCCGTGTCCCCCAGGGCCTAGAGAAAGGTATGTACCCGCCTTCTCCCCACCTCACCCCAGTGGTGTATTTAAACCGTTTCTCCTTTTTTATCGTTTACGAACCCCAGTCCTTTCATACTCATCACCTCTCCTCATTACCGCCGTCTACTGACGTCCTGTTTCTCCCCGTCGTTTTCCAGCGACCTTAGTGCTTGGTCCCCTTCTCTCCTCGAACAGACCTTTCTTCACCCCTGGCATCTGTGCATCACCTGGTCTCTCTGCTCCCCGGAGTCCTTAGCTCCAGCAGTCTCCTCTTCCGTCTCACCTCAGCCACTCACTCACCCGTTCCTACCCCAGAACTTCTGTCATTGTAATGAGCCCACCTCCAAAATCTCAATTTCAAACGTCCCTCTCTCTGACTCGTCCCTCCTCCCCCTCCACTCACCTGCTCTAGTTTCCAGCTGTTCTTACTTCCCAGTTTTACTGAGGTATAATTGACACGTAGCACTGTGTCCGTTTAAGGTGTACAACATGATGATTCGATAGAAGTGTGTATTGCAAAATCATTACCACCGTAAGGGTAGTTAACAGCCATCACCTCCAGGGACAGTTATTTTCCTTGTCATGAGAACCTTGAAGGTCTGCTCCCTTGGAAGCCCTCAAAGACACAGTACAGGATCGTTAGCTGCAGTCATCGTGTTGCATGTGACTTCCTCAGAACCTGTTCTCCTTATAACTTGAAGTTTGTAATTTGTACTTTTTGACCCCCGCACCTGATTCCTTCACCCTCCACGCCCCATCTCTGGCAACCACAAATCTGAGCTCTGTCTCTGTGTGTTTGCTTTTATTAGATTCCACATATAAGAGATAATACAATATTTATCTTTCTCTGTCTGACTTATGTCACTTAGCATAATGAGCTCAAAGTCCATCCATTTTGTGGCAAATAAATATATTCCAGCTATTTTTAAAACTTCATCAGGATTTCATTTCATGGAACCACCTACTTTCTCAAACTTCTTTGTCTCTCTTTCCACCATGTCTTCACCTTCCTGAACCGCCGTAGACTCTATCACCCCAGTACCAGCTCCCCTGACTCTCTTGTCATTGCATCCAGGTGACAAAACCCTGCTGTAGCTAAACCTCCCCTCCCTGGGGCTCCTCTAGCAGCCAGAGAGCAGAAGCAGCCTCTCTTAGACCAGAACACAGAACACCCAGCAGCCCCGTGAGAAACAGGTGTCACCCCACACAGTGCCCGGGGGGGCAGAGGGCTGGGGTTCACACCTCTGACCCCCGGGGGCAGCTTGTAGGGCAGCACAGAGGCTGGGTCTGCCGCACTTCCCCCAGGAACCGTGGGGCTGGCGCAGGGCCGGGTAAGAGCCTGTGTGTGTTGAACAGTAAGGCTTGTTCATCCTCTGCCTGTCGTTCTCACCACCTGAGTTCTTAACGTTTTCTTTTGTTTGATTCCCCTACAACTTTCTCTTGCCGCTTCTTATACGCTGACCCTGGTAACGGAGCGCTGTGGAGTGGTCACAGGCATAGGTTCTGGAGACAGAGCCAGGCCCAAGTTCAGGTCCTGCTTCTGCCACTACCTGGCTGTTGTGCTTTGTGAAGGACACTTAACCTCCCCAGGCCTCAGCCTCCTGCTCTGAACGGTGTGGATAGTAAGAATGCCTGCACCATAGGGCTGTCGCACATGCCAGGAGCTTTGCCCTTAATAAGCAGTCTGTAAGTTAGTCCCTGTCTTCGCACCATTGTCCACTCTCCCTGAGAGCACCATTTGCTCTCGTACCAACTTCCTTCATCATTTCAGCAGCTTCTCATTCTGCTTTTTGTGAAAGCTTTCCTCTAAATCTTTTCCCCTGCTTTTGGCATCATCTTCATCTGTCTTTTTCCTTTTTTTTTTCCTCACTCCCATGTATATTTTTTGCCTCCTCTTTTCTCTCCTAGAATCACTTCACATTTATTAACAAAAAAGGAAGTTCAAATGTACTTCTCTTGTGTCCCTTCTTTCGTATATGTTATCTGTTCTGTGTGTGTGTGTGTGTGTGTGTGTGTGTGTGTGTGTGTATCTGGTCTGCAGTATGCCGCCGCCTCCAGCTGTGCTGTGGCACATCTTCAGCTTTTGTTTTTAATCTCCCAGAAGCTCAGTAATGTGCTTAACTTAGAGTGCCTTGGTTTCCTGGCCCAGGAATCCTTTAGAATATTGATCTTCTTTTTAAATTTTGTAATTTAAATGCAGAGTCCTTTGCCCTCGTCAAGGGTTGTTAATGAATCCCCAGCTGGAGCCCAGTGCTGACAGTTGCAGACTTAACCATCCTTCTTTGGAAAATTCAACACTAACAGTGCATCTCCCATTTAGAGACTGAATAGCGTGGACCTTGCTAAGCCAGGTTCAGGCCTTCCGGAGTAAAGCAGGGTGTTGGGCGGCCCACAGAACCTAGCTGGGCTTCTCCTCCCCCATGCCTGCCTCTCTCCTCCATTCACTCTTTCCTGCCCCCTCTATTTTTGAATCAGAAGAGAGGGCCTGGATATCTCAGCACCACAGTTTCTCCTTTTGTCATTGTAGCCAGGCACCATCTAGTGTAGACACAGTGTAGATGATTCCTTGCACCTGCCTCACCCCGGATATGATGCTGAGTGTAAGGATTGGGTGCTCTATTTAAATTTAACAAAAATTTCTTAAATGCCTTCAGTGCACTAGCACTATAGAGAAAACAAGATGAGTATACACGCTCTTCAGATGTCTAGAATCTGCGGTGTAATAAGGCCGCAAGAGAAGGGTAAACCTGCCTGATCCAAGACAGAGTATCACAGGTAAATAATTATAAATGAAAAGGTAAAATCATAAGAAGAATTAAAAGTAGGTCAGTAAATAACTCCTGAATATTTAGGGGAATAAAATTCAGCTACGTAAACTGAGTGACTCAGAAGCACCACAAAGTGGCTTTATCACTGCGTTATGTGTCCCCAGCACACTGGCTCCACGTTATCACTGCGTTATGTGTCCCCAGCACACTGGCTCCACGTTATCACTGCGTTATGTGTCCCCAGCACACTGGCTTCATGTTCTAACTCAGCTGACACAGTCTGCTGTGTCCCCATCCTCCAGTGTAAGAGAGTCCACTTTGGATCAGTCTTAAGAAAAGGTCAAATTAATGCCACCCTTCTTGGGGGCAGTTTTTCAATAAGCTTCAAAAACCATGAAAACTGTCTTGCTGTTTGACTGACTGTTTACCTCTAGGAACTCATTCTATGGATGTAATTAGAGATGAAAACTCAAATTATCTATATAGCAATATTTATAACTGGACAATGTTGGAAGCTACCTAAATACCCAACAGTAGGCTATTGCAGACAAGGAACTTATTCTAGACAGTGAATATTGTCCCATCATTGGAAACACAGTTTAGCAGATTACTCAGTGGCACAGGGGAATAATCACAGTATATTGCTGAATCGAGGTGGTTTCAAAATACTCTGTTCAGTATATCATGTGACCCAATTTTGAAAATATACAGAATAGAAATATACTGAATTTTAAGATGTGGTCATGTATATACACATAAATATATGCTTATACAAATACAGAGAGAAACTAGAAAAAGTCTGAAAGGGCTTATAACTAATGTCAATAGTGTTTATGGCTAGATAGTAGAATTGTAGTTTTTTCCGTATTTTATGCATTTTGTCCAGAGACTAGCTATTATTTTTAAGATGAGAAAAGGAAAAGGAATAGGACTTATTTTTATAAAGAATGTAGGTGCCTTACCTAGGCTGTTTACATAGTGATGTGGAGAATTCAAGGCAACATTGGCAGTCGGTCCCGGAGGAGGGGCCGTGAACAGTGCCATGGAAGAGGAGCCTTTGAGGAAGGCCTGGAGGGGTAGGACCAGTGGGCTTTTCTGGAGAACGTGGTCGAAGGACAGGGCCTACGAATACTTCCCCCTTGTCGGGGCAGGAAAATGGGTCCTAGAGAAGCTGCAAAGAGAAGACTCCAGAGGCCAAGAAAGTGGGTGTCTTGTAGGTTGACACGAAGGACCCACAAATACTCATTACAGGGACATCAACATCTAGGGGGGATAAAGCGGGAGCGAGGGAGCTCCGCCGGGGCTCTCTGTTCTGCTGACTTTAATTTTGTTTCCACTTGTCCTCTAGTCTTCCCTGAATTCTTTTGTTTCTAATTGTATGCTTTCTACTTTTCTTTTTCCTGTGCCCACTTTCTTGTCTAAAAGCACAAATAGGTGAGGCCCAGTGAAGTAGGGGAGGTGTGGCAGAGGCAGGCTTGGCTGGGGCTGTAGGGGAAGCCCGGGCCCCTCCCCATTGCCGTCCCAGCCCGCTCCAGTCCTGCCCAGCACTGCTCCACTGGAAGCTTTACCTTAAATCAAAGCAGGGCGACTTCAGTCCACTCTCGGGCAAGAGGCGAGGCCAAGTCTGAGGACAGTTTAACCCAGTTTCCCACAGCTCAGCCCTGACGTGCCTGCAAGGAGGGCTCCAGGTCCCACTGGGACCATTAGGCATGCTCCTCCCGGGGGAGGCTGATCCAAGCCCTGTGCCCCTGCTTCCTCCCCCAGCTGCCACATCAGCCGCATCTTGGAGGCCCCACGGGGGAACGCTCTGCTGGTTGGTGTCGGGGGCAGCGGCAAGCAGAGTCTGACGAGGCTCGCGGCTTTCATCAGCTCCATGGACGTCTTCCAGATCACGCTGCGGAAGGGCTACCAGATTCCTGACTTCAAGGTGGGAGAGCCGGGCGGCTTCGGGGAGGAGACCCTGCCTCCTCAGCTACCCACGACCCCCATCACCCCTCATTAGCTCCTCAGTTCCCTCGCCCAGAACCTTTCCTTCACTGTCTGTCCATCTTCTTCTTAGGCCCTGGGCTGGTGACAGGAGGGCCCTTTTCTCTGCAGGCCCTGCCCGTGAGCACCAGCCTTCCCAGGGTCTGCACTTGTGAGACCCCAGCTGCTCTAGTGCATCTGCCACGCCTCAGCTCCCACCCACATCCGCATGACATTCAGGACATTTCTCCCCACAGCCCTGACAGGCAGGAGGAAGGCTGACAGTCTGCCCAAGTTTTAGAAGAAATTGGTATTTTAAAAGACAGGTGTAGTAACCACCAGCCGCTGGGACCTTCAGTGACACGTGGTTTCAGACGTCAGGCACTTAGGAGCCACAGGGCACACCTGGAAGGTAGAGAAAGGCATTACATTAGACCTTCAGAGGTCACTTTGTCTGGCCCCCTCCCTTTGACCGATGGCCACAGTAGAGGCACAGGAGGGCATCATGATGTAATCTCCATCAGTATGCTGCCCTCGCTGTCCCTGGAAGAGTCCCAGCCAGCCCTGAGCTGGAGCTGCCCACCCATCTCCATAATCTCTTAGCCAGTGGTGCTCACTGCTGGTCTGAAGCCACAGCTCAGCCTCTCGTGGTTGGCTGGATCTAAGGTCATACTCCAGGTTCACATCAGGTCAGTCTTTAGTGCTTCCATAAAAGAGAAGACAGATCATGCTTGTAAGAATTATGCATTTACAGAATGATCTAAGACAGTGGGTCTCAACCTTGGCTATCTACTGGAATCCACTTCAAACAATGCTGATGCCTGCACCCCATACCCAGAAATCATGACTTAACCAGTCTGGGGAGTGGCCTGGGCCTCAGGACGTATCCCCCAAGTGATTCTAATGAGAACTGAGAAGCACTGTCTTAGCTAATTTTCTAAGTGCATAGGCTAAGAACCACTGATCTAAAAGGAGCCTTATTAACCTCAAAGGGGAATTATTTAGACACGAAGGAAGCTCTGCTGTAAGGAAACGTATGAGGCTGGTAGAGAATGAGCTTTGGGTCATGTGAGCGGGAGACACGAGTAAGGTGAGGGGCTGATGGCTGAGCTCTGGGAAAGGGATACATCAAAGGAACCGAGGCTGAGGAAGCTGGAAAAATTTAAGGCTTGGCATCCTGACCCCAAACTTCATCTACCTACAGTTTCGAATGGATGTAATTTCCTCCCAAATGATCGTGTGTGTGTGTGGTGTGTGTGTTCCCCAGTATATTTTTTTTAACAACACAATCTTTTGCTGGAGCTTGTCATGAGAACACAAGACTCTGCTACATAAGATATAGTCATCCCCAGGCCGGCAGGCCCAGCTACATGACTCTTCTGTCAAGACCAAGAGTAACTGCTTGCTTCCTGGGGCAAGTCATTCACTCGTATGAAGATATAAATAACATAGACTAACAGGGGACCCTCTCTGGCCTTTGGAAAGCGGGTACCTCTTTGCACAAAGCAGGAGCTCTGGAAGCTAACTCAGGAGCCACAGTGGTTGTGTGAATTAAAGACCATCACCATTTAATTCTACTTGCCCACCTCTGTTGGGATCGAGGCCTGGGAATGAGGCATGTTTTCCCACCTTTCAGCACAAGATAGCACTCCTCCTAACCTCCCATTGCCGTGTGGCTTCATTTTCCATGAAAGTCGACGAGAAAATGGTCCCACTCCTAAAGAGGGGTTGGAAATCTCTTACCAAGAAGGCCCTCTTCTTGGAGACCTCTGCTGTTGTTTCTGCAGGCGGACCTGGCCAGCTTGTGCCTGAAAACCGGGGTGAAGAATGTCAGCACCGTGTTTCTCATGACTGATGCCCAGGTGGCTGATGAGAAGTTTCTTGTGCTCATCAATGACCTCTTGGCATCTGGTAAGAGACTCTCTGCACTTGAATGTCTCCAATAAATTCCTGGTGGAGTCAGAGTCATTCCAAAGTGGAGACTCGGCTCAGGGTCAGAAGAGCAAAGCGGTAGAAATGAGGGTTAAAACATAACAGCAGAGAACTGGTTCATCAGTATTTCAGGCAGACTAGGTTGTAGCAGTGAGATACACACACAGAGACCGTGTACACACAGCACTTACATGATAGGTCAAGATTAGGTTGCCGATTTAATTAATCAAGGACTCAGAACTTTATGGGAGCAAAGTAGAAGCAGGAACATTTGTAGAATGGTTTTTCTTACTTTATAAAGAACTTGACAAGGGCTATCTCACCTTCCCTGTGACTCTATCAGTGCAAGACAGGACTTCAGTGGAAAGTTCAGTTCTTGATACTTTGCTGTCCTTACTTATTTAGGGATTCAGGACTTACGTCAATCATTCTAGGGGAAAAAAATTATGTATACACACATATATACATATGTGTATATACAAACATATACAAGATGTGTATAAATATATATGCCCAAGAAGATAAGAAAAAATCATGCATAAGTTATGCATTTTCAAAAATTAGAGATGTGTGTGTATTTATTTACATTAACTATAAGAAGAATATAATTTCCTGACTCTTAATCCAAGTTTAGCATCTACAGAACCCCCTCGGAGAAGCAGCTCTCTGTAGGACATGTCCTGTGCGTCCCAGCAGTGCACTTGTCACCCAGGGGCCAGGGGCCAGGGGCCAGCTGGTCCCATGGGAGTGTCTGGCCTGCATTTGTGGACTCATTCCACAGACTGTGGGATTATTGCTTTCTTGCGTCTGGTGTCTGCCCCATGGGTAAGCCTGGCCTAGAGGTTTGTGCAGGCTTCCTGGTGGGAGGGGCCGGTGCCCGCCCACGGGTGAGTGGAACTGGGTGCTGGCCCTCCGGTCTAGGGGTGTGTCTGGAGGTGGCTATAGGCTCAGAAAGTCTTTAGGCAGCCTGCCTGCTGATGGCTGGGGCTGAGTTCCCACCTGGTTAGTTGTTTGGCCTGAATTATCCCAGCACCGGAGCCTCCAGGCTATTGGGTGGGGCCAGATCTTGGTGCTAATGACCCAAGCAAAATGTCAGCCTCCAGGAAAGCTCATGTAGATGAACACTCCCCAGATGTTTGCTGCCAGCTTTTCTGTTCCCAGGATGAGCCACAGCCACCCCCACCTCCGCAGGGGACCCTCCAAGACCAGCAGGCAGGCCTGGCCCAGGCTCCTGTGAAATCACTGCCTCTGCCGCTCCCCTGGTGCATGTGAGAGTCAGTGCGCTCTTTTTAAGAGTAAATTCTCTGTTTCCCCAGTCCTGTGGGGCTCCTGCAATTAAGCTGGCCTTCAAAGCCAAATGCTCTGGGGTTTCCTCCTCCCAATGCCAGACGGCCAGGCTGGGGAGCCTGACGTGGGCTCAGAGCGCTCACTCCTGTGGGAGGGCCTCTGCAATACGATTATTCTCCAGTGTGTGGGTCGCCCACCCCGGGAAGTGTAGGGCCCGATTACATTGCTAGTGTGCCCTTCCTGCCATCCTGCTGTGGTTCCCTCTTTTTGTCTCCAGTTGTAGAAGGTCTTTTTGGTAAGTTCCAGTCTTTTTTATCGATGGTTGTTCAGCAGTCAGTTGTGGTTTTGTTGTGTTCATGAGAGGAGGTGAGCTCAAGGTCCTACTATTCTGCCATCTTGACAACATATTTAGCATCTACATAACCACTTCTTTATCTGGGTTAATAAAATAGTGCACAAATGTTCTGAACAAAATTTCTGTCTCCAGATTTCCAGCATTTCAGAAAGCCCCTTTCTGCACAGTCCACCTCCTGGCTCTCTGACTGAATGGTCTTTAGTTTATAAAGTCCGAGGACCACAATCACAATGTACTTCTCCATAGTCTGTTCCCTGTCATATAAAATATATTTCAGGATGCTCCTCCCTAGGAACTTCACTGCTTCAGAGTCACTGACTGCTTTGAATTTCATGCCCATGTACCCTAGGCCATTTTACTATCATCCGTGAAGCGCCGCTGGTCCCTGGTCCAGACCATGCACTAGCAGGCTCTGTGAGCAAGCTTTAGCTTCTTTCTGATGAGGACCAGAGTCCCAGGTTGCAGTGCTGGCTCCAACCATTGCACTGAGCCTGTACTGTCATTCTTTCCCAGCCTGCCCTATTTCCGTTAGCTTTATGTGCAGGAGTTTGCCTACTAACTCTCACACCTTTTCTCCTCAATCCAGTAAATTGTCCTTTTCTTAAATACTGTCTTTGTTATACCCCACCACCTTCCACAGCATTATTTCACCTACAACACTGCCTCACCTTTTATTATTTTACCAAATAATGAGAAAGAGGTTCAACTTCGCTCTTGCCCTGAAGCTATGTCCTGAAGTCTAATTTCTAAAACAATCAAAAAAGGTAAAATTGTGTTTCCAAAGACTTAAAGCTTTGGAGATGCCAGGCGTGTTGCCAGCCTCACCATGCATCTCATCTGACTCCAGTCCAGCCAGGTCACCTTCTCCTAAAATAATGTCTGAGACACAGTAGATGTTACAATTTTACCAATTGAAATTTTGTTCCTCAATGAAGTATTTTTAATTTTTAATTTGGAAGACAACTTTTTTCAAGTTCAGATGAATTTCTGAAGCCCTGCCCAGTGAAAACTTAATGCAGTCAGTCTGCTCCAAAGTCATGGAGTTTCAAGCTCATATTTCTCTTTTAAGCCTTCCATATAAAAACAAGATTTACATATACATGTTAAAATGGAGATACAACTGAAAATAATACTTTTCTAATCTTCTTCCCTTTTTTCTTAACCAGGGGGAATTGAGCATATCTCAGTTCTGATTTTCCCTGTCAGATAATTTCTGGCTAGAAATTAACTGACTGTCAGTCCAGGCAGAGCTGTAAAGATTCCTCAGAACATCCACATCCCCTTAGGTTTTCAAGTTTATGCGGTTGTGCAGTCACTCCCTTCTTGGATCACACAGTGGAGATTAGGAAACTATACGTTGGGGTACCTTGCTGTTAACTCATCCCTCTGTAGTTATCTACAAATCCTGTTAGGTTGGAGGTAAGGTACAGTGAGTGAGTTCCACTTATTCAGCACTCCCCCAAAAACATATTCCTCAGTGACCTGATGATCTCATGCCGTAGGCTGTCTGGTTTCCTCCCATGCTTCTTTAGCTCACAGTTTCATCCCTTGGTTTCCTGACACCATTTCCAAAACCAGACAGTGCCTGTCAGAATCCCACTTCTGACACCAACCAAACATTTCAGAAACCATCATTATACCACTTGCATCTCAGGTTGATTGGAGGTTGACAGTAAGCAATCCTATACACAAAGCTTAAATTAAATTCCTGGTTCAGTTAGCAAAAGCTGCCTAATTGTGTAAGAAGCAAGGTGGCCACACAGATCAGAGCCAGTGAAGCATATCTTTCAGTCACTGTCTTTGGCTGCCAGAGTCCTTAATGGGGATCATGAAGCTGCTAGTGAAACTATATATGAAGTGTTGGCTCCGTGAATTTAAAGAGTTCAATTCTTGTCATGTCCTTGTTGCCCTGTGTAATAATTCCTGAACAACGTACACTTGGCCATCAAACCCAGGCATTGAAAAAATTCTTACAAAGTTTGTCCTCTTTTGGTCCTTGAACCAAACTCAGCAAGGCCCCATCCTAATATATTCTCCTATGGGGAGAAAATAGAATCCTTTTCTGGCTTTTTGGTGTCACACACCTGCCTCCAGGTTTCCAGCATCCCAGAATGCCCATTTTACTGGAGTCCCAACTAAGAAGACCTGGTCTGCTCCAGATGTGGTGTCTTTCCTCTCCTTGCTCTGCCAGATGTCATACTTCATTTTACACTGGAATCTCATTTTAGTATTTCTCTTTTGCTTTTCAAAAGGCTTAATTATTCATTCCAAAATTAATATTTGTCTTCCCTGGTCCAGACTAGATCACTTTGCATCTATTCGTATACTCAAAACCATTTATTAAGCTTTTATGTTCCAGTCGGCAGGTGCTGTGCTCAACATGAATATCTTACAGCCTCTGTGTGTTCTACTAGAATAATTTATAACAAATTGAGCCCCCTCCCTGGTAGAGTCATCTGCCTCTCCATCTTTTAAACAGGCAGTCTCCTTGAATACTTGGATCAAATCTCCTCTTTGTATGTAGAACATGAAGAGATCACCTCATCTTCCAGGTGCTTTAGGATTAGATACAGAATTAATACGTTCATGGTCTGTGTATATCACATGAGCATGTGGAGTTTGGAAATATTTGTAACGGTCTTGGCATTGGATTGTTCTTCTCCCATGAGCACCTGGAACTGCACTTCCTCATGGGCCAACTCTGCTTTACATAAGTTGTATTCTGGCCCAATTTCCCTGAAAGGAAAAAAAGACAACGTGTGGGGGGAAAAGAGAAGCCATCAAGCATGCACCACATCTCCTAAGCATACTTTGTGGTCTCAGTGGATCTGTTCACCAGATGTGTCCCCAAACCATAGACCATGGAAATTTAAACTGGCACATGGTTGGTTCTCCAGCTGCCAAGCAGAAATGTCCAAAGGGTAATGTAAAAAGATGCTTGAGTAACCAGCCTTTCTTTTCTTCATGTGGTGCTAAATTCTCGCACAGGTTGCCTGTCTCTGTGTTTCTCCTACACTGCTAACCTCTCCCTCACTACCTATATCCAGCAGAAAATCAGTCACCATCAATTTTACCCCGAATTATTTCTGAATCCATATCTTCTCTGGCATGGCTCCCACTGATCTTTTCATCTTTTGCTTCAACAAATGCAGACACTTCTTAACTCATCTGCCTTCTTCCCAGGGGCAGTCTCCCTCTCCAGTCCACTCTCCTCACTGCTTCCAAAAAGGTCTGTCTAAGCTAGAATTCCTTCATTAGTTCCTAACTGACTGCAGGATAAGCTCTTTTGTACAGGAAAAAAACAAAAAACGAAAAAAAAAAAAAAAAACCTGCCTTT